AGTAACCTTAGTACTGACAACGTATTGTTTATTGTAGCCAAACATAGTGATAAAATTTTATTTAATTATAAAAATATAGTACTAATATGACCTTTATAAGAGGTTTCTTCCAGCAAATCTTGTTCTGTGAAAGAAATTGGTAGTACACTGTCTTTTAAATTTACTTTATTATTTGTTTAAAAGGAAAATATATAATATATATATTCGATTGAACGTATTTTTTTCTTTAATTTCAATCTATGTACACATTTAAATACAACTTTGTTTCTATTGAGTACCCGACCTATTCTACTCTGACCTTCTAGAGAAAATAATAAAATTTTAAAAAGCCCACAACGTCAAGCCTCAGCTACAGCTTAATATGACGAGATAACTTATCTGTCAGCTATCCGGATCGACATTTAAATTGTGTATAATATAGTTCGCCTACATCTTTGGTGCGATAAGTCTTCAATCTGCGGAGTGGATCGTACTATGCGTTGGTGTCAGTCAATCAAACCGGTTTACCCTTTACGCACAAATCTGGGCCATGGAAGTATTCCCGCTATGATGACCAAAGTTAAGGCGGAGATAGCATCATTGTGCACCTTTTATTTGAAGAAACTGGGCGCAATTTTATACTTCCATATCACAGACCAAATGGAGTCTGATGCTTTCTTCCAAATTGCAACTAAACATCTTCTGCTTTCAGACTTGGGCCTTTCTATGCATCGCCATAAAGTACGCTTCGTGTTTTACGCCTGAGGTATCCTTCAGTTGCGGTCAACTGTTAAAAGCAGTTGCTATTCTACTATTTCAAAATATATGAGAAAAATGTTTAATATACAGGGAAGTTTAAGTTTTCTATAATGTAAAAAATCAAAATTATTTCTTAAGACATATAGCTGATATGTATGCATTTTTACGTCCCATGCTAATAAATACATTTTAATAGATCCGTTCTTAACTGTTGCATTGTTATTTTATTGGTATTAGACATTAAAAATAACATCGTCGAATACAAACCCAATATTCTCTTGTTGTTAATAAACTTTGCTTCGGGCGCAGAACACGTTGCGTTCGTGATTGAACACTGATCGTTCAAAGAGATTAATCTATTTGCCGTTGTTGACTCCATACTAGGTGCGTGTACCGATTGTGCGTCCAGCGTACGTGTAATCATTTTGGGATCAATTGAATTACATGACGCGTCCATGGCTCGGAGCCGGAGCCCAGAGCCCGGCGGACGTTATCTAAATCTAAATGTTGTAAAGTAACATAAAAAGACATAGGTATGCACGAGCACGAGTCGCGTATCGCTGATAGCCGTGTCGTCTAAGATTATTGCAACAGCAGTCCGGGTTTGTGTGTACACGTTGTATATGGTATTATAGGTACTTCATGTGGCTGAGGAGTGCCCACGCGCAGAGTTGAGTCGTGCTCGATGACACAGGTCACGTCATACACTCCTATGTTGGGACGTGCTCGCCGAGAACATAAATCTGCATGCCATAAGGCAACCATTTTTAACATGAGAAAACTGCTTCAGTGTTAAACAATTTAAATATGGTAACATTTTTTTATACTTTATGGTGTCTGTCTTTTGAATTTAAAAACGAAATACAGAAATGAATAGGACAATAGTTTTGGGCGACATCTGTCTGTTGCATACTTATATCATCAATCGGTAATGTGTCGCACGTTTGTTTTTTTTTTCTAATGAATGAGGCACGCCATCTTAGTTCAAAAGAATAGCAATCCGTTAGTGGAGAATTAGGATAAAATCACAAAGAAAAGACACAGTTCGTATGATTTGTATAATATAAATGTTATAAGCATATTAATATTGGTACCTAAACTTAAGAAACTTATGAACTAATAAAAAACATACTTTATGGACACTGAATAGCAATTCGACGTTCCGTGACTTGCTCGCGTCAACAGCGCATTGAATCTTGATCTGGCTCGCCATTATAAGGGATGCTATTGGGAAACCGGTGTTGGAGTCACTTTCGACCTTATTGCCTAGTGTTAACGACGCTGTTCACCATTCGCCGGCATCAATACTGCGCTAGCACCGTGCCCAGGAATAAGATAAGATCACCGGGAGAGTTGTGCGTCAAGCGATCCAAACCGGCCGCGGCCCTTCAATTATTCACAAGCGAACGCTATTACACTGCACGTTGTGTTGTTTGCTCTCGACGTAACACAACGTAAAAAACGCCCACGTCGTCGCAACGCACCGTACACCATCCGGTGCGAGAGTAAGTGATTTGATGGGTAGCTACTTGTATTGTAATCATTGATGAGGGATTTATATAGTCCACTTACAACGTGCGCTACATTAAATGCCTGTTTTCAATCGATACGTTCTAATGTTTTTGGTTAAACGATGATGATGAAGATAAATTAGAGCTCTTTGGAATTAGATAATGTTTCGCTATTTGCAAGATTTGTAATTGTACGATACTGTACGTAAAACTTTTCTTGTAACGAACCTATTTATAAAATCTGTGAAATGTAAACATACATGAATAGCTAATAGCTGTATACTTTTTAGTTTGTTTATGGACTTAATTTTGCCATTTCTTTCATTGATTCTATACACCGTGTTCGGAGTCGTCGATTGTAGTAGAATAACATAGATTCTTTAACAATTTTAAGTTGTAAAGAATCCATTCATCTGAACATTTTTGTAACTATATTATGTGGTTACTTCGCTAATTCTGATCCGATATTCACATGTCTTTTTGCAATCACTAGGGACCGTGTGACAATGAAGTTGCCGTTTTATTTTTTTAAGCAAGAACTGCTAGTTGCGAAACCAAATCAATTTGTATATAATTTTACGATCTAAACTAAAATATTTTCAGTGTAAGGTATCAATGAAACATGGCGTCGTTATGGCATATTAATGAATAAAGTAGCTTTTTTTTGAAAAAAAAACTTACTATTGTCATTATTTAAATTTAATGTTCAGATGTTTAAATGAAATATCTCACTGTGAGAGACATCCGGTGGCAAGGCAGGGTACGTACCGCGGGAGGCGGCGGCGGTAGGCGCCGGTCTATTTCCACGTGTCCACAGTCCTCGCCGCCGATGGAAATAAGTCGTACTAACGATTTTTACGGTTATTTTTAAACGGTTACCACCCTGACGCGTCCCGGTGCTCAATAAGGCGACCAACATACAAATGCGATGTTTCTGTGAAGTCTATTTAACATATTTTACTTAATTGCAATAGTTGTTCGTGCTATACAGAGGTAAATGAATTGGCAGGTCACATTACATCTACATACTTAGATAAAAATGAAGAAATAATATTTTTTTATATTTTCATGCCAGGCGCACTTACAGATTTGGCAAAGCGAGCTGTGTGCCAAATTCCTCGTAAAATTCTGAAGTCTTGACTTGTCTCATCATCAGTCTAGGCCTGTTCTAATACCTGCATCCTTTCACTTTCTAATAATATATCTCTTTCGACATCCTTTCATCCAACATTCTATCCATATAGTCAAACCACCGTGGCATATCTTTTCCTAAATTTTTACATCGACACTTTATTTTGCACTTGCTCTACTGTCTAAATCAAAATTTAATATTTCTAAATTACCATATAGATTTAGACTAAACCAGCAAATTTCTGTTCATCCCCATCTCCAATTTTGATATACTATAACTATGCTAGAGACATTTCAAATCAAACCGAACGTTTACTTGTTACTCGTTGAAATTTTAAACATTTTTGTATATTGTTTTTGCGTTGCACTTCTCTACACGTTTCAGCTCTTGTTCTATTCTATATCTATTACTTTAGTTTATATCTAGCTCAATTATCATCATGGTTCTTATGCTATGTAAATTAAAGTTGGCGTAATGATGTTCATTTTGGTGAAAGGATTTACTTCATTATGCAGATCAATATCAAGAATTTTAGTCATTAATTATTTCCAATCACTCAAAATCAACTATAGTTCTCGGAGCAAATATTTCGTTGAGTGATTCCCAATTCTCAGTAACTTGCACTGCTACGTCTGTTGACCACGTCGCCACCCACACGTGCGCGGTGTCGTGTTGCGTGTTGGTGGTATTAATTGTGGTGGAGGAGGCGGCGGCGGGCGCCGCGCGGGCTCGCCGCCGCCGGCACAAAGTTCAAGAGCAGCGTCCGCAGTGCGCGACACTCGACACCCGGCGAACCTCTTCCGCTCTAGTTTCCAGAATTTTGTCTGCACCGATATAAACACTAACTTCTTTTTGATATTACATAGAAGTTGCCGCTTTGTATTTGTTTAAAAATGCAATCTTCTGTAAGTTACATATTTTTTTAATGGATGATAATAGAATGGTAACCTTGCCTGTGCAAATAGTAAACGCTAGCTGGGTATCAATGAGGGATGATAAGTGAGAATGAAAGGGTAGGTCAGTAGCCCATCGTGATGAAGACACCTGGAATTCAGTACGATGGTTTCCAGGGGTACCAGGGAGAGGTCAACCTAATAGGGTATATTTTCAGCAATGGGACTGGTAGTCCGCATTACTTATAACCCCTTTCCCCCTGGTAAAGTACATAAAAACATTCATAAATTGTCGTTCTGCATTTTTAAAAATCGTTTCTCGTTTAATAAATATTTTGTAAACACTAGTTACAACATATGCTACATGTATTTTAATGGAATTAAATTAACAATAAAATTGCTATATGGTTGTAGACTAGCTTAATCTCTATCAACAGAAGTTCAACTTTAGTACAGAATTGTATTGAATTGACATAAGTTTTCAGATAGCCGCATGATCTCCGAATGATGATGATAACATTGCAAATATAATAATTACTTAGTAATCTGTAAGGTTTCGTGTTGTAATAAACATGATAAATGTAATAAACACTTAAACATGTACAGGCATATGATGCAGTTAAAATTATCCATTATAAATTTGAAAATTGAAATCCTAAATACATTAATGAGTTCTTCTAGCTAAACTAATCAATCATTAATAATAAACTTGTTTGTTTGTGCCAGGTATGGGTGGCGAGGCGTGCGCGTGCGCACCTACGCCGCCACGACTACTACCCGAGCCCGAGCCTGACCACTTGTACGACCACCACTCCTCCGAGGAGGAGCTAGAGGTAATCATCATCACTTACCACAAGGCACGCTGTCCACACAACCCTGCACCACGTTGCGTACAGATCAACTACCTTAACCAGAATAAGGAAGTAACTAAATTTAATAAGACGAGAGTTACTTTTTCTTAAAATAAACAATTTTAGCAATCCCCATCGCATCGAAGTTTAATGACGTGTCCAGTCTAACGCATTCTTAGGGTTATTGGCAGACTACCTTTCTAGCAGAAAATATCTCTCGCACTTCAGATCACACGTGTCAGTTGACCGTCAGACTGGGTGACGTCGGTGTAGGCGTTGTGTGGCTCAAGATACGCAATACACGACACATTTGTGTAGTGAATTGTTTAACACTCATTAATGCTCGCACTTGCCGTCCTTTTCGGACATCATTAGAAGCAAAATTCTAACATTGCGGTCAGTTTACACTTTGTCAGTTTTATCTGTATTAAAATTAAGTTGAAATTAGTGGTATGTTCACTTGTACACATATCCATCATATACATCTTCACATGTAATTCAATTGACATAAGTGTAAATTTGCCATTGTTAACCGCGTGTGGCATTATGCAGCAATGTTTGTAAGTGTTGTGTCTTATGATACCCGTGCAAATTTAATTGCATGTAGAACAGCTGTTTCTATGCAGATTTCTGGTATTAGAAGTTTAGATATCCAGCAAAGAATTTACGATAAATAATCCTTAAACTAAAAATCTTTCTGAAACCTCTTAATTCTCTGTCGCTTTTAAGCAGTAGTTGTGGTGATAGATTTAAAAGACATAAACGGCTTGCAGTCAAAGGGCGTACTGTTACTATAAATGGTCTTATCATTTGGCCTTACTTGGAATGTAAACGTTTCTTTAATTCCATAAAATGAATGTTAAAACAAAATTTATTTTATGGCCTTGATGCGTTCTTCAAGAGTTTGCGACGTAGGAAAGACGACAATGATAAAACACATGTGATTTAGAATCTATTAATTGCACAAGAACTTTTTGTATTTTAGTGTCCTTAGTTATCTTGATTTATATTAAATTCTTTAAAATGAGATTAACTCTAAGCAAACTCTCGATTGAAGATCATAGCCAACGTACCAGCAAACGACAATCCTTGAGAATACCCTAACTGTTACTGAACAATAATATGAATTTCAAATGAGTTACCGAGTGTTCTTCGTCTTTGACTTCTAATTCTTAAATATTAATTAACAATTTACTCACTAATAGCTCGAGATATGAATTAGTATAACAGCTTGCATAACGTTCAGGGCCATACATTAAAAAATAAGAAAATAGATAGGAAAGTTAGAATCGTGACTAGAATATTAGTTTAGGCTATACGGTGAGTTGCCTACTTGAAATGCCCTACTGAAATAAATTCTCCGTTTCGTGACAAAGTAAGAAGTACAATGTGTTACCATTTGTTTTCATATAGTGTTCTAAGAGTCCTAGAGTCCATCTACTCAGCATAGGACCAAGAGCATACAACATATCTTTCTTTCCACCGATCAAATAAAAACCAATGATTGTTAATGCGAATTTAAACTAATTTCCGTGCAATATTTGGGATGTTCTGTCCTATGTTTTGCTACTACGATCCTTCAATGAATCTTGTATGCAATTAAATTTAATTGAAGATAATGTTTTCATTGAATACGAGCACTGTATTATGATCTGCTCTACCTTTAAATAGTGTTTCAAAATTTGGGGATGGTAACCCTAGGCTGTATCGTGTTACAATCTCACATTGCAAGTGAATACGGTGCCTGTGAGCCTGTGAGCGCGGCGGTGAAGCGTCGCGGTGTCCTGTCCTGTTCATCACACGGTGCATTAAATTCGCAACGACACGCCGCAACTAAATTACTGTCGTCGCCGGTCGCGTCCCCCTGTCCCCTTTGTCCCCCCTCCCATCGGCGACCATCACTATACCCATTACACTTGACATATTCAGTGTTTTGTTGCCTACCAGCTTTTGTATACCTGACCGGAATAATCGATCGCCTAAGACTGTAAGCTAAGAGGTATTCATTATTTCAGTGACGTCTGATTTGTTGCGTGCCTACTGATTACGTGAATTAATCATCAATTACTAGCTTTTACCCGCGACTGCGTCTGCGTGATCGGGAAACGTTTACTGACCGGGATAAAAGTAACCTATTTTATTTTATTTGAATTTATATCCTTCTCCATCCTTTATATTATAGTACGCGTTTCTACATTTCATAGTGATTGCTTAAGCCGTGAAAGCACTATAAGGTAACAAGCAAACGTTTAGATTCTTATTGCAAATAAAAATCCTAAGTAAAATCTGGGGTCAATTATAAAAAATAATTGCATCCGATTTAAATCTTCAATAGACAGATAAATAAAACGTTGCAAGACTTTGGAAAACTAAAGTCCTTATCTGATATATTTTTTTTCAATTTCTCACACAGGATTTATTTTAGATTTATTTTTAGAAATAAGATCTGTAGACGCTGGGCATACATATGTATGTAGATAATTTCACTTTTTGCTCCGCAAAAACCGCTAATTTCCTCGTGGCAGAATTAATACGATACCGACAATAAACTAAATTCCATCGATTAAGAAATGAAATAATAGTATCTGTTCAGGCTATCGCTAGCGAGTCAACAAGATGGAATGAGACACCGGACATTCTGTCTTATAAATTCGCTAAGAATGTCGATTCCATCAATGAATTCGCTTGTCGCTTGTCTAGAAGGAACTGGCGAACCCATTACAAAAAAAAAATACTGGCTGATTGACGGTATCCTCAATTTTGAACGCTTATAAAGAAAAAAGTTAAGGAAGCATTTTTGGAAACTGCCTGTTATAGTAATAAACATGTAGGGTATTGGACTTAATTCACTTATGCACCTATCTATGGGGGCATGGGTGTGCATATGTAACATGTGCATGTCAGCGAACAGATTAAAAAGTTACGAGAGAAGTTGAACGCCCTGCGACCCGGTGCCCGGTGGGTAAGCTCGAATTAGTAGGCGAATAAAAAATAATACGCGAGCTCGACTGACGGTGGCCATATTACGCGCGGTTGGTGCAGTCTGCTACCAAAAAGGTTTTCAATTTGACAGTATTTTTTTTTATTTGTTACCTTATAGTGCTGAATTGATTTTGGTTTTTCTTTTTTATTAATCGCTGAGTTTCATTCTCTTGTTGATCCTATATCAATTTTATCATTATTAACGTCGTTTTGATGCGAATTATGGCTCGCCTCTTGTCACGATGAATTCTAATAGCCTTGGGGAATTGTGGGCATGGTCAAGTGTAACGATCACCGTAACGACAACTGTTGACAATTACCTCTGACTATCCCATTAGGGATTCTAATCGTGAACATATTTTTTAATTTTCCCCTTTTTGCGGGGCAATATTTCAAATTAAGAACCTAGTAGAAAGCGTGAAAATATATTTTGAATTGGATTTTGCTTTGTTTCATTTAAAAGATTTTTACTATGTTCCTCGAATCAACTTTTCAGTATCCTGATTATGGATTCTAATAGCTATACTAATGTATGAGCTTGCACATGTCACTTGCTTCGTTTCAGTTTTGGTATTGTTAATTGATCCTGTGAGAACCGTTCAGTTTGCCGAAACTAAAAGTTCTTAACAGTATGCAGAACACAATCTTAATATTTGAAACTGGAAGTTAAACCTGCACCGTTCTTGTACTATTAATAACTAGGTTGATCCTTTTTTATTTAGGTATCATAAAGTGTTGCATCTTGTTCTATAAGCAATATGATTAGCTATCAGTGGCAAATATTCCATACAGAATTGCCTAGCATATTGCCGGTTTACGATACTGCATTTAATACACTGCTTTAACACTTGAAGAGGTACTGCTAGTATAAGTTAGGGTTACCAACAGTTCAATTTTCACTACATTTAGGAAATATCCTATTTTTGAGTTGTCACATTTATTGAACTCTATAGGATGATCATGAGAATTATACAACCAACTGGTACTGGTAGGAAGAGTTTTATTTCATTTCGGAAACAATATGTCCCGGTAGCTTTTCAATATTTTCGAAATTTTGAGATAGTAACATTGACAACCCTAGTATAGTATAAGTGGAGGCAGGCAGGAGGGCTGACGAGGGCGGAGGCGTCGGCGGTGGTGGCGAGTGGCGCGAGCGGCCGGCCGCGTCTCACCGGCTGTCTTCCCATTGTTCCACAAGAGGCCAGCCCACAATCCGAGCAACTACGCCTGCATACGTTATCTTACTTACCGCACTTTACTTGAATGCAAAATAATAGACACCCCGTCGACAAGCGCTGGCAAGTTCTCGGCTGCAAGTTTCCATTTTTGTATTTATTTAGACGAATCTATTGTGGTTATCTTTAGTTCCTGATTTGGTTGGAGTTCAAATAAATATTTCTGTTTCGCGACCTCTTGTCTGACCTTCCTATGGTGTACAAGTCGAAATAGATAGATGGATAGCATGGGAATCGTGTGTTGACCATAAAAAATTTGACATGAAAAATATTTCATAATCAAACTTAAAATTAACTCAACAACAGCGAAGACATTACCCACTGTCAGTAATGCTGGTATTGCCAAATTTCCTCGCACATTAGTAGATGCGCCTACCGTGAAAGGTTTTGAATTCAATTCTCGGTCGAGCAGATTTAGGAGGAAAACTTTTTTAAATTGGTTCGAGTTAGCAAAGTTGCGGTTTATATTATACGATGTCTGATTTCTTATAATAATAATAATACAAGGTAGTTCGAGTACCATAACTTTTTTATTATTTTTACATTTTTGTTAAAACTTTGACCGTTTAGTCTAAATGAAACTTTTACCAGCCCATCTTATATTTAACTTCAAGTACATAATAAAGATATGCAAGGCGGACATAACACTTAAAGACGTTCTCTACTAGCTAACTATGGGGCAAACAGAGATGATTGGTTGCAGTACTTTAAAACAAAAGAGAAACTATAACTACGTACATGATATTCATCATATTTTATTAATTGATCATGGATTTATTGGTGTGGCCTATTCAGGTGATGTCGAAATTCCTTTTAAAGTAATGTTTCAACAATTACTGAATGATTTTCCCAAAGGAACAGGTATATATGAAAAAAAAATTGAGACTTCCACACTATCATTGCTCATCCAACTGTTTAGTTTGTAGGGGAGGCTTAATATTTTTGTCGTTTTTTAATGTTTTTCGAAAATTCTCCTGAATATGAAATATAGGTAGATTGTTAGATTTACGTGTCGCTAACGACTTCAGTTTTACCCTGTATAGTTCATAAAATAAGATCGTTTTCAGTGAAGCACCGAGCAAAGAGGGCGATATTTTCTCGACGGCTCCGCTTGTGCTCGGCGGCTCCTCGCGAGACTCGAGACGTGCGTCTTCGCTTCACGCTACCTATTTCTACTTTTTAGAGAACAAAACATTCGTGTTTTATTCATTTTTCCCTCTGCCGCCTACATAACATTTGTTTATCTTGCGCTTGGCTTCAAATTAGAAATTCTTTTGTCTCCGCTCTTTTTTAATTGCAAAAAGGAAACGAATAATACTTTTCAGCTGAGAAAAACGACTATTATGGTTGCAGAGATAGTCTCTAGCTAGATAGATGTCGACCGTCTCAAGCTTCTATGTTGCTTTGTTTTCGTTTAAAATTAAAAATATGATGGTAAGTGCGTGTAAGAAACTAATACACGAGGGAATATTAACTACAAATTAATAACTACTATTAACATTTCCCGTTTCTTATGCTCGATTAGTCACAGTGGTCAAAAAGCACTTATATAGTTTTACCATAAAACTTTACCAGTCTTTTTGGACATAGGAAAAATTTGTGAAACTCATGAAAGGTACTAAAAATCCAAGTCTCAGAATACAATATTATAATTTCCAACTACGCATTATGCAAATGATTAAAGAGACAAACGGGTAATAGTAACCACTTTCGAACTAATACCATAAGTGGAAGCGTAATTTTCGTGGCGTAATTCCCTAGCGGGTAATATGTAGCTTCCTACGAGCTGAGTATTATATTTGTCACCGCTCTATTATTAGGCTTATTTAATACCGCAAATAGCCTATCCGCTCGTAATATTTTGATAGTTGAGACTGGCGTTGCATGATACGTGCTCGGTGCTTATAATTTAGTGAACAATACATTTTATGTAGTTGGATGAACTCTTTGTGGTGCGGTGAGATGGCAAATTTGTCTCCCATCGGCGACCCGTGTGTCTCGCGTCCATATTATGACGGTGACATAGTGGGTACTACTACTCCAAACAATAATTTCCCGCAGGAGGACTGTAACTCGCGCACCGTCGCGTTTTCTCCCACGTAGTCATCGTGTGTAAATAACATTACTTGCCTGTTACCATAGGGAAACCACAATGTTCTGTTTGTCCTTTCTTAGGAATAATGTATCCTTTCTTAAGAATAATATAACTGTGGGGAAACTTTGTATAGTTAGTGTAGACTTCTGTCTCATCTAGTCCTACAGAGTTTAAAAGATTTATTATATGTATACCATACTATATCTATTATTTTACAAATGAATACACCACTTATTAGATCAGCTGTTCTATTGCATCTCTGCATTTAATCATCACTATCGTCAAGTTTCGTCTGCGTACTGGAAGTCCTCTATCACGTACGCAGTGACAGAAACTGAGTAACAAACTAAAAGACTTTGTTACGTCACGAGTGCCACGCGCATCAGTAGCGTCCAAGTAGAACGTTCATAATGCGCGAGTGTAGCTGAGCGCGAGCTGAGCGTGCGGCTGGTGCAGGTGATCAACGGCGCGCCGAGCGGCGCGGGCGCGGGCGCGGGCGCGGAAGCGGGCGCGGGCGCGGCGGCGGGCGCGGGCGCGGGCGCGGGCGCGAGCGAGTCGCGGCGGCGCGGCGCGTCGTCGCCGCCGCCCGCCGCGCCCGAGAAGCGCAAGTGGCCCGCGCAGCCCTACCTCGACGCCGACGCGGACGACCTCGCCGCCAGGGCGCCCTCCTCCGACGACGACGACACCAAGGTATGCCATCTAATCCACATCCCGCATACACATCGCCATCCGTACTGAGTGTGCTCTAATCCGATGTTTTTGCTTCGTTTACCTTTCGAATTACGTTAAGAAGCTTGTCCTTCCGATCCGTCTTTTCCGGCTTCTTTCCATATTTAAACGAGCTCCTCATCGACGTTACAGGTAGAGACTCCGGTGCGGTTCCGGACGTCACCTCCCCTGGAGGCACTGAAGCCGCGGCGGGCGGGCGGCACGGTGTGCGCGTGCTCGAGTAGCCGCGGCGAGCGCGCCGAGCGCGAGCGCGAGCGAGCACCGGCTTCGCCGCGACGTCGCCGGATGCCCCTCCCACCACCGCGCCGGCATCGGCCTGCTCTTGATTTTGATAAGATGCAGCAGGTATGATCTACATCTTGTTGTAATGCATGCCTTTAAATTATTACATCAGTATTACAGTTTACACAAACGAAGAGCAGTCCACTGAAATGCTTTTGTCTCAGAACTGCTCCGCATAACGCACACGAGGTATTAAAATCACCAATTATCTACCAAGTATATATACATATTTACTATTGCAAAAGCACGTCTAGGACCATTACTCGTATGTTCTACTCATAACAGAAAAATTCAAAAGTAGGTACGGCTCAGTCACTGTAGAGCATTATTCGTCCAAACACCCGGATTGTGTGTTTCAGTTTAGTAATCACTAATTGACCTCACCCGCTGAGCTATGCATTCATTTGTTACACACCAAATCCGTCTTCCAAGAACAGGATGTCGTACATAAAAGCAAAATTATAATAAATGGTTTAACGAGTTCGACTTCACAGCTCCAGACCATTTAATTTAAGTCCAATCTTGCGATTAATCAAGCGAATCTCGAGGCGTCCTCGTTCGATTTCAATTCGTCCGCAGTAACAATCGAATCATTACCAATCTGTTCTTAAATTGCGGCTAATTGCTGGACCTTTCTGTGAACGAATACTAATTCGTATTTGGCTATTACAGTTGTTTTGATGATCTTCGTGGCGCAGTTGTGGTTTTGTATAAATCAGGCCCCAGGTTCGATTACTGGCCAGGCTAACTTAAGAAACAAACTTTTCTGAATAGTTTATATTTTATTTTATATATATTTATAGTTTATTATATGAGTGTTCTGGGTTGTGTCCCCAAATGTCAAAATCTTTGAGCAGCGAGCAATTTTTATGTATATGTTGTAATTTGTGTGCTGTAAGTAATGCAAATAAATTATCTATCTATCTATCTATATTTCAATATCAGTTACAGACTGATAATTGGCTGGCGAGCTCCATCTTTGATCTCGTTGTCACTTCCCATTAGGTGTGATTGTGATAAATCGCGAGACCCTTCAATAGTATAAAAAAAATTACTTTGCAATTGCATAAGGACAAGGTCAGAATATATTTATGTCTTGGCAATGACACCAGAAGTGTGAGATTGTTAAAGATTATGATCCGCTAAAAGAATTACCGAAATTAGTTTAGTATTTCTCTTCTCTCTTCGCGTTCTCCTTTCCAGATTTCTGGAGACTAAGAATACTTTCTAAGTCTCCAAAAATCTGGAAAGGAAATAATGTAAAGAAAATTTAAATATTCAAAAACTGTATCTAAAAAGACGAACTTATTTCCGATACATACTATCCAGAATATCCGCGATCGTCCATTTATTAGACGAATAAAACTCGCAGAACCCTTTTTAATGTTCCACTATTTATTCTCGCAAGTTGTTTTATTACAGTAATTGATAGTTTGTGTTGTGAGAAATAAAATAATATCGACGCTGCGTCCACAATAAAAACTTTATCACGACTCCACGAGCCACAAAATGAGTCGCGATAACATCAGATAGTGGCCATCGTTCCAACGTCACTCATAGATTCACCTTATCTTTACGAGAAAGTGTTGAACGGAGAATAAATATATATAATACCTATCTAATTGTAATAATGTTGTATATTTAGCAGTAATCAAAAGTACTGCATAGAACTGATTTGCGGTCGTTAATTCAGTCTTTAAATAAAGTCATAAGAATAAACAAGCAATGCTTGAATATTGTCCTTGGTTTTAAATATGAAAAAACTAAGTAATGCAATCAAAATTATAAACTTTTATATGACAGTCTCTATCAGACATTCAAAGGTTGTCTGGAAGAAATCCCTTTTGTGGGATAAGTCCGGCATTGTTCTCATTCTTTTTTTAAGAATTACAAAATTTTTATATTTAAAACTTTAGTGTACAATAAAGTGTTGTGAACAAACGAACAGTCCCAATGACAGCCCAGTGAGAAAGACTCAACACAATTCGACCTTCCTAGAAAAATACAAGCATGTATAGTATTTCACGTAAACAAGTGACGGTATATGATATTTCATCTCAAAATATGGGCTATCAGTTACACGAGTTATTTTCGTACGAACTTTATTACGTATATATTTTTCTTATTTACTCTTTACTCTATGTGGATGCCTGTTTTCATATATTGGTGTCAAACACGAGATATTGATGTAAAAAATATAATAAGCCGTGTAAGAGTGGTCGCAATATTGAAATTATAATGAGCTCACGTATGCCACCTTTGGGAGCTCGGAATTCAAGTACACGTACCTTTCTGTTTGTATCCTCGATGTCAGGTAGCGCGTAGCTCTAAAGATGCAAATATACGTTTTAATAATATTGAAGACGCAGTATGAGCTTTTTTTTTTATACAATTCAGAATGGCAAACAAGGTGACGGGCCACATGATGGAAAGTGGTAACCGTCGCCTATAAACATGAACAGTACCATGGCCATAATAGAGTTTACGGTTCCGTCCATGATGACCTCATGCGTTTCCATTCCTGAGGACTCTGGTGCTATTCCTCTGTACCCTGTAAAATCACTGCCACATTCCACCCTTCAAACCGAAACACAGCCATGCAACCACAATTGCTTCACGGTTGAGACACAAATGGGACAGAGGTGTTCAAGCAAACGACTTTTATCAAAGTCTCCCTCTGGTATAATTATTTTGTAGATTATTATACTACTATAAAATAATACTAATAGAAGAAACGACAGCCTTTAGTAACGGTTTCCACATCATCTGCCAATGGTTTTTTTTTTTTTAATGAGTGATAATGGAATATTAACCCCGCCTGCGCTGTCGGTATATACTGGGTACCAGTAGGAGAATTACCCAGGAATTACCACGTTCGTTTGCAGACTACGCGAAGGATTCCTTGATACAAGTATACTAGCTTTAATCCGCAATTTCGTCCGCATTGCTGCGGGATAAAAAATAACCTATATCCTATATTCCAGCCTTTCCCAAAGTGGACGATAACACCCCCTTGTGGGCACTGCAGGCCTAAATGGGGGCGGTAAGAGACCCAAAAAAAAATGGGGACGTTGTGTAGTGGATCGTTTAGAATTAATGTTTAATCTCCGCTAATATAGCTCACAATATTTGACTTGACTTGACTTTAATATAGCTCACAAAATGAGGGCTCTAAAAAATAATTTATTCTCAAAGTGGGCAGTAGACAAAATAAGTTTGGGAACCCCTGCTCTATTCCATATAGTACGTGTGCACCATGGAACTGCGTTTACGCAGTTCTCTCTGGGACTCATGGAAAATATCACGGTTCTGGGGAATTCGCCACCATAGTTCTTATTGTTTCATTCTCTACTGATGCTCCGTTATTTTTTATACTACAAATGTTCCAAACGAGCATATATCCCGTCTCACAGTAAACGGTTATTGTAGCCTATAGACGCTTGAAAGACAGACGCTCCTGAAGAAACTTTAATACGTCCTTTTAAAAGAATCCCAAATTGTAGTCTGCAGAGAAAATCTCTGCGGAGAGCTCTTTCTACAGCTTGAGATGTCGCGGCGGAAACTTCACTGAAACCGGACTACGTGATCTTGGTATTAGCGTGTCACTACATGTCATTAGCACAGGCAGGAGTGCCATACCAGCTTTATCCATAAAAAACCGGTCAAGTGCGAGTCGGACTCACACAACAAGGGTTCCGTACAAAATCATCAAGTTATTTTTTGAGAAATAACTTCAAATTTACAGTTTTAGGATTTTTTCCTTTACTTGTGCTGCATGATATTGCTTGTTGCCAAATTTCATGATTCTAGGTCAACGAGAAGTACCCTATAGGTTTTGATTCACTTTGCGAATGTCAAAATATATATATGGAACATAAACGGTCGTATTTTTTTTAATGGATGATAATGAAAAGGTAACCCCGCCTGCGCTATCGCCAGTCTAATGGCGGGGCAGCAGTGAGGATGAAAGCAGGTCCGTTAGCCCATCGTGACGAATTTCACTAGAATTAACTACGATAGTTTCCAAGGGGAACCAGGTGGAGGTCGACCTGATAGAGTGTATTGCTAGTAATAAGGAAATTAGATCCTATTACTAACAATCCCTTTCTCCTTGCTTTAAGAGACTGTAGAGACTTGAATATATGATATTAATTCCAACTTGATATCTCCACGCGTTCTTAAGAAAAAGGATCTCGACAGACGAACGAACGGATAACAAAGTGATCCTATAAGGATTCCGTTGTTCTTTTGTAGGTACGGAACCTTAAAAATGTACATACCTATAAGTGCGTGTCATAGGTATTCGATATCGGAACCAGTTTTTAAATGTGGCCATTATTTATCTACACTTCTACACTAATATTATAAAGAGGAAAGATTTGTATTTTTTATGTGTATGTATGTTTGTAATGAATAAACTCGAAAAATACTTTGTCGATTTCAAAAATTCTTTCACCGTTAGAAAGCTACATACACCCTGAGTAACATAGGCTATATTTAGAAAAGAAATATCTAATCTAGAAAAGATTAGGGATCCTTACTAAAACTTTAGTAACGTAACTCAAGGTGTAAAAAAAATGCTATAAAATATCTTTAGTCGCGTGCGCTGCGGAAACTATTGGTGATAGAACAAAAGTATGCTCTACAATATTGAAGGAAATATCAATAACTACAATAAACTTCGCGATACTATATGCCCAACTATTATCGTTACATCACAATGACCACTTTTGAAAAAGTTGTAAAAATGTCCACCCGTGCGATTCCGGGACGGGCCACTATTTTTTTTTTACCAGACAATAATTCTGTCCCATTCGTGTTTCTATCGTGAAGCAATTGTGATTGCATGACTGTGTTTCGGTTTGAAGGGTGGGATATGGCGTGAATTTACTGGGTACGGAGGAATAACACCTGAGTCCTCAGGAATGGCAACGCATGGGGGGTATCATGGGCGAAACAGTATACTCTGTTATGTCCATGGTATTGCTCATGTCTATAGGCGACGGTTACCACTTATATTTGATAGAGCGTATAAAATTATCGACGATATCGGGTAACATATACACGAAAAAACTGTTAAACCTTTCACAAACGTAATTAAAATTGTCGGAGGGGGGGGGGAAGGCATTTTTAGTATTGGGTTTTAACTACCCTATTCCTAGCAATGAAGAGGAGGAGGAGATCAACCTGACCGGATATATTGCTAGCAATGGGACTGGTAGTGCGCATTACCAACAATCCCCCCCCCCCCTTAGGGGAGAAAGGGATTGTTAGTAATAAGGTCTAATAGTCCCATTGCTAGCAATACACCCTTTCAGGGCGACTTCCACGCGGTTCTCCCTGGAAACCGTCATGTTTAATTCCTGTCGAATTCATCATGGTGGGCCAACTGACCTGCATCCATTCTCACCTATCATCTTCCACTGGTGCCTCGTCGGTGTATATCGATAGCGCGGGCGGGGTCTCCATTCTATTATTACATTGACGCTTATCTGTGAGAGCTGTATACACCTTTAATTGATATGTTCATATGGCCTTAAAGCTTGGTAGTGAGGAGTAAGATTTTTTGTTCAAACTTAGATTTAAGCATTTTGTAATAGTAGTTGTTCTCTTTTACTTACTAATAACATTGTGTATTGTCTACTTAATTAGTGTGAGCATATTGTTGGTGTGTCTTTTATAAATAAATAACTAAATTATCACCCCTTAAAAAACAATTCCACCGGTTCACGCATTGCAACACAACACAACACAACACAAATGACTAAAATGTAATTATTAAAATCTCTTGCACGCGGGCAAAAATAATATAATATAATGCAATTAGCATTACTCGTACACCGTTTGGTGGAGCATGTTAGCGCATAATTAGCGGTGCACATGCTGCGGCCGGCGGTTTCTCACGCCGCCGCAGCGCTGCCTAGTGTAGGTACGTCGCGGCTACAATTAAAGAACATTCACTTGACAATCGGTACCGTATGTCCCCGATTGTTGCTGAGTACCTGCGAGCTTTTATCTTTTCTTAGTAAATAGATATGTTATTGTTATGGCCATATGATTATTTACCTAAGTACCCAGCCATAAGTTCTGTTACAAATAAATATGCATTTTTTTCTGAAGTAATGTAATTTAATTAAAATTTATATTTACATGATTATTAATGTCTCAGCAAAAATTAAAAATATTCTGCTCCAAATGGCCACCTTTGGCTTTTATATAGGCCTTTAATATGTCTAGCCACGAATCTATGGATTTACGCACTTAAAATTATTCACCTGTGACAAATTATTTGTTGTGATTTTTACACGTAATCACTAATATCACACCTGCTACTATTTGCTATTGATAGTGAAATATGAATTATAACTTTTAAGAAATGAGAGAGAATAGACATTTTAAGGCCATGTGAAATAGTGTCTATTCGCTTGCTCTGTACTGCCCAGTCGGCCGTCTGTTGCGATTTCACTTCACTATTAATTGAACATAACCGCAGACGAATAAATCGGAACGCAGTGACTAGGTATCTGTGATTTCGTTTAGAGTGATTTATAATTTAGTAGCGAAGAATTTGCAGTGATGTATGTTATTTCACTTAAAAATATACCAAGGCTAGTGGTAACATGATGTTTTATATACATATATATATATATATAGGAAAAATTAAACGACGTTTGTGACTAGCACCGTTTTTTGAGAAATTACCCAAATACTCCCAAAACCGATTTAGTTATGCGGTCCAGTTTCTAAATCATTATTATGGTTTAAAATAAATTGCAAATTATAATATCAACAATAATACTATTGAAAATTGTCACAATATTGTACACCGCTCTAGCCGCTGACATTGATGCTCCTTTCCACTTTGGGTGTTGCTGGAAGAGAACTCTTTTAGAGTTAAGCTCGCTTTTGTACGTTTACTTACTTCTGCCATATTTTTATTTACTATCAATGATTACAATAAAGTATAAATAAAATAAATAAACTATTAGGTATATATTTTTACTTTACTTTTGAATTCAATATTTCTGTATACAAAAATTGTAAATTAACTTGAGAAAACATGACACCATCATTGCTATATCACTGTTTAGTTTAATCCACGTGTTTAATATTTTTGAGACCATTTTTTTACGAATACAATGGCAATAGAATTCGTGCTTGTCTCTCTGTCTGTATGTTTGTTTCGGCAGTACGCAAAAATAATAAAATAATTGTACAGAAGCCAAAAAATATTGTAAAATTTATCTAACTTGAAATATGTTTAATAATGCAGCGTGTTTGATTTGCAACGCGTCGATTAGGCACAGTTAATTCTGATAAGGTAACGGTTTTCGACTCGCAACCCGCGGCATCGTGATGTTTTGCCCTAACACAGGGTACATCGGGTAATTTTTATCTTATAAGATCTTCTATGTAAATCAATACTGCTGTATTTCAGACATAGAGGACTTTTTTTAATGGGTGATAATGGAATGGTAACCCCACCCGCGCTATCGGTATACACCGACGGGGCACCAGTGAAGGATGATAGGTGAGGATGAAGCAAGCCAGTTAGCTCATCGTGACGAATTCAACAAGAATTGTTTACGATGGTTTCTAGGGGGAACCACGTGGAAGTCGACCTGATAGAGCATACTGCTAGCAATAGGCTATCAAACTCAATTGCTAACAATCCCTTCCCCCCGACATAAAGGATTAACAGTGTATGTTGGGGGGGATTGTTGTAATGGGGTCTAACTGATCCATTGCCAGCAATACACTCTATCAGTCAACCTCCACGTGGTTTCAACTGGAAATCATCGTGGTTAATTCTAGTAGAATTCGTCATGATGGGCTAACTGACCTGCTTTCATCCTCACCTATCATCCCTCACTGGTGCCCCGCCAGCGTGTACCGATAACGCAGGCGGGGTTACCATTCCATTATCTTATCACGCGTTAAAAAATAACAGTGTTAGTTGTCAAATTTAAACAAGTCTTAAATTTATCACATTTACAACGGATAAGTACTTTTTTTTGGCCGTTTGGTCCCATAGAATAGGCCACCCCTTCCATTCCCGTGGGTGGTGTTAGAGCCGACTAAGGTAGAGCGAGAGATGGGCAGCAGCGTCCCTCTTAAAACATCTCTAAAGCCTGGCTACGGTTGCCAATTCGCCTGCCAAGCGTGGCAACTATTGGCAAACCCTCCAAGAAGGAGGTTTATGTTCAGCAGTGGACAGTTAAAGGCTGATGTGACGAGGTCAGCAAATATCTGATACCGTAACTTGGTGATCTGCGATAGGAAGCTTGTTATGGTAGTCATACGTACACGTCCGACTCGGGGCTGTACGCGATGATGGACGTTCGAGGCTTTTCAATTTCCTACTACGATAACATGTTTTTATTACTCGATTACAATCTGAAAATTGAATAAAACGGATAAAAATATGTAAATGGAACTCAATTTAATCATGTTTTCATAGTCGAAGGTTTTCACCTTCCTCGTGATAGCTTATCAAACGGCCGGCGGCCTTATCGGATATAGACTGGGTCGCCGACCTCGCAGACATGCGGGCATTACGACAACACACCAGTACAGCACCACGTGACATAGAAGTAAACCGTGTTCAAACTTATTTTTTTTTTATACAACTTATAATGGCAAAAAAGCTGACGGCCCACCTGATGGAAAGTGGTAACCGTCGCCTATAGACATGAGCAGTACCATGGACATAACAGAGTATACTGTTTCGCCCATGATACCCTCCATGCGTTGCCATTCCTGAGGACTCGGGTGTTATTCCTCTGTACCCAGTAAATTCACGCCAAATCCCACCCTTCAAACCGAAACACAGCCATGCAAACACAACTGCTTCACGGTTGAAACACGAAATTATTTGTATAATCCACCATATCGCCCTACCCTGGCCAACGTCTCCGAGAATTGAGTCGTATAATCAGAATGAATTAATACAACTCAAAACTCGGAGACGTTAGTTCTCAAGATAAATTTTATGGTTAGTCTTGTATAAACGGGAAAGTCCAAAAAATCAGAGAAGATACCATAATCAACTTGCAATGATGGTGCGACAATTCTCTCCAGCGCTCAATGGACGATTAGCTCATTGAGCATCGATCATGTTTCTCAATGAGGAGCATTGTTTGCGCGCGCAGCCTGGCCGCCCTGTCGCCGCCGCCGTATATGGCGCGTGGAATGAAACCTCGCCACATTAAGTTTTTGCCCCACTATGAGCTGCGTACGAATTGTAGAATGATGTGTAATCGACTCGAAAACGTTTGCAATTCATGCTGATATTGAATGCTTTCCTTTTACTGAACGGTGCGGCGAGAACTTGTTAAGTCGCGTCACGAGGAAGCCGTAGGGCTTAGGTCAGCGTACGAGAACGGGCTTCTCGACTGCGATTGCTTCGATATTCCACATAAAAGCTTTAGTAATTTTTAGATTATTCTTAGAGGAAAAGCGAACTCATTCCGTAATCTTCTTCTGAAATGGGTTTCCCTATTTTGTTAATTTTTTTTTAATTTTTATTACATAAAGAACTGGCTTATTTGGACTGGAAAAGTGGATGCTTGATTTGTGCATTTATTCATCGACCTTTGTGACATGAAGATCAGTCACAATATCTAGTAATTTCAATCACAGAGTCACAGTACTTAGTAATCATTTCATTACTACATTTCACCATTGAAATCAGAATACAGAATGCTTAATACAATTTTATTTTGTGATAGAATTGGCAGAATTAATAGCTGAGACAGAGGATTTTGCAGACGATTTCGTATAATCTCTCTTTAGTTCCTATCGTCTGGATTCGGGAGGATGCGTAGCAATTTTATAATTATTACTGATTATTTGTTGGAATTATTTTGTTTAATTCCTTTACCATTAGTGTGTGTGTAACTCCCAGAAGTACCACAACCTTCCGTATCAGTCTCATTATTTGACCATTTAAACATTTGTATATATCTCATTTAAAGCTGTCCGTGTTTCTGGTGATGCCGCCCTGAGCGACACCGCGCCCACCACCACCACCACCACCACCACCCAATGCAGGTAATACTGTATGTTCTGCTGGTGATGGCGGCCGCCCTGAGCGACACCGCGCCCACCACCATATGCTGGTGATGGCGGCCGCCCTGAGCGACACCGCGCCCACCACCACCACCACCACCCCCACCACCCACACTGCAGGTAATCACTGTCAAATGGCTCGGCCAGCGAGCAGTCCGTGTTCTGCTGGTGATGGCGGCGCCCTGAGCGACACCGCGCCCACCACCACCACCACCACCACCACCCACACTGCAGGTAATCACTGTCAATGGCTCGGCCAGCGAGCTGTCCGTGTTCTGCTGGTGATGGCGGCCGCCCTGAGCGACACCGCGCCCACCACCACCACAACCACCACCACCCACACTGCAGGGTCGCGGCTCGGCAGCGAGCTGTCCGTGTTCTGCTGGTGATGGCGGCCGCCCTGAGCGACACCGCGCCCACCACCACCACCACCACCACCACCACCCACACTGCAGGTAATCACTGTCAATGGCTCGGCCAGCGAGCTGTCCGTGTTCTGCTGGTGATGGCGGCCGCCCTGAGCGACACCGCGCCCACCACCACCACCACCACCACCACCCACACTGCAGGTAATCACTGTCAATGGCTCGGCCAGCGAGCTGTCCGTGTTCTGCTGGTGATGGCGGCCGCCCTGAGCGACACCGCGCCCACCACCACCACCACCACCACCACCCACACTGCAGGTAATCACTGTCAATGGCTCGGCCAGCGAGCTGTCCGTGTTCTGCTGGTGATGGCGGCCCTGAGCGACACCGCGCCCACCACCACCACCACCACCACCACCCACACTGCAGGTAATCACTGTCAATGGCTCGGCCAGCGAGCTGTCCGTGTTCTGCTGGTGATGGCGGCCGCCCTGAGCGACACCGCGCCCACCACCACCACCACCACCACCACCCACACTGCAGGTAATCACTGTCAATGGCTCGGCCAGCGAGCTGTCCGTGTTCTGCTGGTGATGGCGGCCGCCCTGAGCGACACCGCGCCCACCACCACCACCACCACCACCACCCACACTGCAGGTAATCACTGTCAATGGCTCGGCCAGCGAGCTGTCCGTGTTCTGCTGGTGATGGCGGCCGCCCTGAGCGACACCGCGCCCACCACCCACCACCACCACCACCCACACTGCAGGTAATCACTGTCAATGGCTCGGCCAGCGAGCTGTCCGTGTTCTGCTGGTGATGGCGGCCGCCCTGAGCGACACCGCGCCCACCACCACCACCACCACCACCACCCACACTGCAGGTAATCACTGTCAATGGCTCGGCCAGCGAGCTGTCCGTGTTCTGCTGGTGATGGCGGCCGCCCTGAGCGACACCGCGCCCACCACCACCACCACCACTACCACCCACACTGCAGGTAATCACTGTCAATGGCTCGGCCAGCGAGCTGTCCGTGTTCTGCTGGTGATGGCGGCCGCCCTGAGCGACACCGCGCCCACCACCACCACCACCACCACCACCCACACTGCAGGTAATCACTGTCAATGGCTCGGCCAGCGAGCTGTCCGTGTTCTGCTGGTGATGGCGGCCGCCCTGAGCGACACCGCGCCCACCACCACCACCACCACCACCACCCACACTGCAGGTAATCACTGTCAATGGCTCGGCCAGCGAGCTGTCCGTGTTCTGCTGGTGATGGCGGCCGCCCTGAGCGACTTTCTTTATGCTTATAATCATATATCTTCTTCGACTTCTTCTATGCTTATAATCATATTTTTTAATGGTTGATAATTATTGGTATACGCTGGCAGTTGAATGAAGTTTTTTTTATACAACATAGAATGGCAAACAAGCTGACGGTCCACCTGATGGAAAGTGGTAACCGTCGCCTATAGACATGAGTAGTACCATGGAAATAACAGAGTATACTGTTTCGCCCATGATACCCCCATGCGTTACCATTCCTGAGGACTCAGGTGTTATTCCTCTGTACCCAGTAAATTGACGCCACATCCCACCTTTTAAACCGAAACACAGCCATGCAAACACAACTGCTTCACGGTTGAAACTCGAATGAGTTGACCCATTATGACGAATTTCTCCAGAATTTAACAATAAATTATTTTTATAAAAGAATCAATATTAAATAAAACGTTAACTAATAATATTTCAGGAAATTTTAAAAATCTATATATAATAAAATGGGATAAATTGTTAGCAATAGGAGTCCCATTGTTTACGATTTCCCTTACTAACCCTTTCTCCCAACGTAGAATCGCATGTGGCTAACTGTCCGTTTGTTTGGTTTGTTCCAGACTGTGTAGGCGAGGCGGCACGGCGGGCGACAGCTGTCGTACTTACGTCCTCGCTTAACTATCTATGTGTTGTAGTGACGTTTTTTGTCCCGGCCTTTAAATATCGATCGTCAGGGACTGTGCATGTGACTGATGATGTGAGCATGTTCGTTTCAGTAACCAAAAATACGATCATAATCTTTACGATCGTACATTAAAAAATAGACATTGCGAGTTGTGAACGGACCTTCGGAAGAGATGATTCACCGCCACCCGACCTGGTACATCCTTCTGGACGAATCCGTTTGACGTATCCAAATTATCCGACCTGCGACCACTGGTTACGACGAAACAAACCGTTCCGTGCAAGCAGCTTGCGTTATGTAAATAAAAGTATGTAGGTATGTTCGTATGTTGATGCATTGTCCCCCGTTCCATTGGATATAGCGATTTTGTTTCATAAGTACCTAATCGAATTAAACTGTAACAGAACAATGATAATAAACTAGCGTCTGCGTTTAATCCTCCGAGGAGATGTAATTTTACTTGTAATCTAATATTCCCGTTAGTACAATAAGTAACCTAAAATATTTACTTACATAATGTGTAACCGACCTACAATTTTAGAGTATGCAGCAATGTCGTGGCACGTGCGTCACCTGTCTTCAATAGTGCGATGGCTGGTCTAATTTAAGAAATGAAGGAACTGCCATCGCATCACCAGAAATATCGCACATATCCTTAACTTGTTGTGCCAAGATATTGTAAATTACAAGTAACTGTGGTCAGTGATACAAGAAGTAACTGTGTTTATTATGCAAGCCATAAATATAATAAAAAAGTTCCTTGTTGTAAAATCAAGGCAGGGTGAAGATTCTACACAAACACTAAAATTGCCTTGTGCTACAAGATGGGGAAATGTTGTAAATGTTTTGAATCTCTTAGATTGTCATATTCGTAGCCCTGAATATCCAACATTTACGGTATTTTACGAACAAATATTAAGGGGAAAAAAAAAACCTAGAAATGTTCCGGAGCTGGACCATAACGTGTCCCGAGTATGACGGTTGTCACGTGTCCACGTGTGCCGGCCGCCAGTCCGGAGTAGTGTCGAGCCAGTCACACGAACGCAGCAGCGTTCAAGTTCCTTTATGAGATTGCACTCAAATGATCAAAGTACAAAACTTACAAATAAATACTTACGGTAGGGCGCGCGAGCGAGGCCGGCGCGCGCGCTTGTACATAGAATATTGTTCATATTCGACGTGTCATCTCTGTGTGAAGTGTAACTTCATTTGTGTAGTTCACGGTTATATTTACATATAGGGTACAGCCCAGCACAGCACGGCGAGAACGGCGACCGCCCGGCCGCGGCGTCTAGTTTTTGGAAATATTTACTCATCACTGTTACAAGTCGCCGTCACCGCGACGTCGGTGATTACTAAATTCTTGGCACTGGAATATCCAACATTTACGGTATTTTCAAATATTAAGGGGAAAAAAAAACCTAGAAATGTTCCACCTATCGGTGTGATCGGCACTCAAATGATCAAAGTACAAAACTTACAAATAAATACTTATAGAGCGTAGCGCTCGTACGGGGTACTGCGCCGGCCAATTCGTATCGCAGCCGGGTTGTATTGGCACGAGACCGGCGCATGGTACCCAAACATTAATTGAATGATCTATTGTGATGACCTGTGTTGCGGAGGGGGGGGGGCGGCATTGCGTCGCCTCGAGTCTTGATCTCGAATTACGACTGACCGCGGGGCATCCCCGTCCAGCGGCCAGCGGCGGCTCGCTCTGTCCGCTGCCGTGCCACGGGGATGCCCCCGCCACGACACGTGATTCCATCGTAGTTTATCGTTATTTTACCATTTGAATGTCGATCGTTACGAGGACGAGTCAGCGCCCGGCTGCCGGGTAGGATGCAAGCGGCGAGACCGCGGCCGAGGCCCGGGCGTCCGGGCGTCCGGGCGCTCGCTCGTCGTTCGTACAGTTCGTATCGGTTGTACCTCCCTAGTTGTATTCTTGTGTTAGTTTTAGCGGGGCTAAACGTTTCCTTGATCGTGTTGTGTCGAAAACGAGAAACGATACCGACATAATATATATAAAAAAAAAAAAAAAAAATTGTGGTGCGAGTGATTCAGTGAATTTAAAGACGTTTAACAAATTTTCAAATTAATATGATAAAAGTACTAAGACTTTTTTTAAAATCGCTTCGATAAATATTATGTATGTACATAGTGTTAAGTTACGTAGAGTTTAAGAGCAGACTTAGATGTAGTAGGTATAACAAATTGCAAGGCGGGCGCGCGGCGCGGCGCCTCATCTATTGTTAACATTTTTCTCTTTAATCGTGTTACTTTCGGTTTTTATTTGTGCTGCGATTACGTTACTGATGTTACATTGTTATCGAGCAGCTGTGAGCGTACTGCGAGTCGGAGCCTCACGGCCGCCTGCCGTCCGCCGCCTACCATACATACTTCAATACATACACACACTCCTAGCAAACAATTCTTTAACCACTTAATTGCGAGGGTTTTTCTGTGAAATGAGGTCAACTGGCGCATTGAACGCACTAAATTCAAACGAGCATACAATAAATATACACTAAGCTCTATGAAATACAAACGGGCGAGAAGGTATCGCTCCAGATAAAAATGTAAACATAATATTTATAAATGGCGAGAGGTATTCGGGATAGCGCAAATCGGAACACATTTGATGCGCGAGAGGGTCTCGTTCGAGATGCTTAAATGGTTAAACAAATATCAATAAAGAACTAACTATACATCTTAATTTGATTATCCAAGGAAACATGCGAATTTCAAACATACGAACTGTGTTTTTGAGTACCACCCTATTTGGAAATTTCGTACGAGGCTCGGTGAGCGGTAGTGGCGTGACTATGGCAGGTGTGTCCCGGACAGCAGGCGGCAAGCTCGGTACCCGTGTCGATTAGCTGTTATTGTTATATGTCTGTCGACCACTGCACAATATGTAACGGTGATCACCATTCGCAGTGGCAAACGAGAGCTGGACGCATACCAGTGTGATACCATCAGGTGGATTTAGACTCAAAATAGGAAGGGCATAACAACATAAAGAAAACTATGTGTATATATAAAAAAAGAACCTAAGTTTAGATAAAAAGAACAATGTATAAAATATTCACAAATATAGTTAACTATCCCAGTTTAAACCCGGACAATTCATATAAATGGCGTTATCGTTGCAGCCCTCTAAGATGAAAAAGTAATTTCTCGTATTTTTTACTTTTACAATGAATATCTTCAATTTGATCGCTCGAGTTCAAAACAAACCATTTATGCTTGCTTAATTATTTATAACAAATACTACAATTCGCAAAGAATCTTAGACAGAAAAAAAAAAACATTTTTCTACATTAGTGTACTGAACATTTGTTTCCTAAACTCCTCAAATATTGCGTCTAAACTGCGCCCACCAAGTACCCTCTTGTATAGGCATTCTGTCACCCGTATCCAATAGCGAGGACGGGACGCTTTAAATACTGTACCGCAAACCATAAAAATCTCAAATTCAAATTTTCAACTTATAATTTCAATTGGTTACACGATGCTACCATATACCAGAGGGAGACTTTGTACAAAAGTCGATTGCTTGGGTACCTCTGTCCCATTCATGTTTCAACCGTGAAGCAGCTGTGTTTGCATGGCTGTGTTTCGGTTTGAAGGGTGGGATATGGCGTGAATTTACTGAGTACAGAGGAATAACACCTGAGTCCTCAGGAATGGCAACGCATTGGGGGTATCATGGGCGAAACAGTATACTCTGTTATGTCCACGGTACTGCTCATGTCTATAGACGACGGTTACCACTTTCCATCAGGTGGGCCGTCAGCTTGTTTGCCATTCTAAGTTGTATAAAACCTGTGTATACCGCGGTTTACAATCATATTTGAATCACAGATTGCAACAAAATAAATTTATTAAAAATTTAAAAAAAGATAAAAAATTGTAAAAAGTGAAGGTCCCGATCTTTATCTGTCTAAAGCCTACTTTTTGAGACCATTCGAATGAGCTAAAACACACTATATCTACTGTAAGTAGCGCAAGGAGTTGGGTTACCTGCAGACTACTTTATACTCCAGCATCAGGTCAACATGTCATGGAAATTACCATCGAAGAGGTACACCCAATTTTGGATCGGAATTGTGCATTTTTTTAATCCCATGTCATGGGAAATAACATCGAAGAAGTACACCCAATCCCGGATCGGAATTTTGCATTTTTTTTAATCCCTTTGTTAATTAAGAACAATCTCGACTACATCAGCTTTCAAACAAAAAAAAAAACTCGTTAAAATTGGTCCATCCGTTTGGGAGTTACGATGCCACAAGATATACAAATAGTCACGTTAAATATATAACAATTTTTACGTAGCGAATTAAAAATTGTAAAAGCACATCTAAGTCCACCGTAGTATGCGAGCGGTCGTCCAACGCCCACTAACTGTTACATATTGAGTTGGGGAGACGTATTTTATTCTACTTACCACATTTTAACTCACATTAGGTTGGAAATAGACAAGCTTTGGACTGACGATAGATCTGTAGTTGTTTCCAATGATCTCTTGCAAATCCGCCGGCGCCGGTCGGCGCGGCGTCGCTCGGTTTGAATAATGGCTTTAGTTTCAGATAGTTGCGAATGGCTCGAGTGGCTCGTCTATTTCATACCTTTGATTTTGAAAATGACTGTGTGATTTTTATAATTGTTTTTTTTTTTTTTTATTTTTTTATAGTTGTTTATTACCACTGCATGGCACAGTGTTGCCAGTGTTGTTTTTCTCGTTTCATTTGTATTTCTTTTAAACACAGTTGCGTTCAAAATCGTACCTTGTATAAAATAAAGTTGAGGGCTCGCAGTAACGTGTAAGTTTGCAACAATCAAATGGTGATATTATACAAAATAATTTATATTATGTTTTTATATATTGAATTAACAAGCGTAATAAAGAGTGAGCAAAGGCACATCTTACATATCGCTGTTTCATTATTCACATGTGTTTGTGTCGTCCGCGCGGTCGTACCTGGGGAGGGGGGGGGGGTTTGAGGGGCAATGCCCTACCTTAAAAGACTCAATGCCTTACCTTAAAAGACTCAATGCCCTACCTTAAAAGACTTAATGCCTTACCTTAAAAGACTCAATGCTCTACCTTAAAAGACTTAATGCCTTACCTTAAAAGATTCAATGCCCTACCTTAAAAGACTCAATGCCCTACCTTAAAAGACTCAATGCCCTACCTTAAAAGACTTAATGCCTTACCTTAAAAGATTCAATGCCCTACCTTAAAAGACTCAATGCCCTACCTTAAAAGACTCAATGCCCTACCTTAAAAGACTAAATGCCCTACCTTAAAAGACTTAATGCCTTACCTTAAAAGATTCAATGCCCTACCTTAAAAGACTTAATGCCTTATCTTAAAAGATTCAATGCCCTACCTAAAAAGACTCAATGCCCTACCTTAAAAGACTCAATGCCCTACCTTAAAAGACTCAATGCCCTACCTTAAAAGGTCCAATGCCCTTCCTTAAAAGATCCAATGCCCTATCTTAAAAGGTCCAATACCCTACCTTAAAAGACCCAATGTTCTACTTTAAAATGAAGAGACAGATTTGTTTTTTCAAACTCACCTAATTATGGCTTCTGCTCTACCAAAAAGTTCTTTTGCCCTACCTTAAACATGGGTCTAACTACTGCCCTGGTCTTTCGGCAATCAGTATCTATCACCTGAGTTTTTTTTTATGGATGAAGATGGAATGGTGCATCCACCTATGTTAGTGGAAGATGAAATCACGTTATTATGGCAAATTAGCCAGGAATCGATTACGATTGTTTCTAGAAGGGGCCGTGTGGAGTTTGGCTTGGTGAAGGATATATTGCTAGCAATAAAGACTGAAATCCCCTTCACCATAAGTTATCTGGGTATCTCTGTCCTATTCGTGTTTCTACCGTGAAGCAGTTGTGTTTGCATGGCTGTGTTTCGGTTTGAAGGGTGGGAGATGGCAGTGAATTTAGTGGGTATAGAGGATGTTCCTGAGTCCTCAGGAATGGCAACGCATGGGGGTATCATGGGCGAAACAGTATACTGTGTTATGTCCATGGTACTGCTCATGTCTATAGGCGGCAATTGTTTGCCATTCTAAGTTGCAGAAAAGATATAGTTCCCAAACTAGTATTCTTCAGAAATTGATCATAGCAATCTCCTCTAAGAACGTTAAGATTTCTTGGAAGATATTCATGTCCAGCTGTGAGAATAGACCCAATCGAGAATCGAATCCACGACCTCATTACGTGACATGTTTATAACAGCGACATGGTGGTATAAAGACTGAATCAATCTAAACAGCTGAACGGATTTGTATGAAATTTGTTACCCTTACAGGTCATTTCCCATCTTAAATAGGATACTTTATAAACTAATTTACTGGCTAAATGGTCTAAACCGCGAAAAATGTTATGATTAAAAAAAAACTATAATTTGCATGTTTAATATGGAACTGTCAAATTATTAAATAAGAACTATGTATCACCTATTCAAGGTAAATATTCTATTCTAATCTTATATCTAATTGGAATGCACATAAAAGCATCATTAAAATCAGCCAGAATTTTTTTAGCAAGTTTTGTGTTACAGGCAACTATACCTCGTAGATATAGTAATATAGCGAATGAGGATCAAGATTTTAAAATATTCATAAATTTATCTACACTTATAATAAATCTGTAGGGAGGTCAATTCTGTTCATGAAATATATTTCCAAAATAACTATCAGGGGGTGATTAGTGATCGATACTGATGCCAACAATGCAATCAGTAAAATTTTTGTCTGTCTGTATGTTTGTTATAGAAACAAGTACTACTCGACGGATTTTAACGAAACTTGGTACAATTATACTTCATACTCCTGGGCAGGTTATAGTATACTTTTCATCACGCTACGATCAATAGGAACAGAGCAGTGAAGGGAAGTGTCTGTTACATCAAAACCACTGAACCGTGAGGAAGGATATAGGCTACTTATTTTACGAAAAACAACGGAAACGCGGACGAAGTCGCGGGCAACAAGTAGTTTAAAATATAATCGTAATTATAATTTATTTTAATACATAATTTAAATAATCACCTGACATGTATACAAGACACTTTCTCCCACGAACACTTAGGTAATGATATAAGCTCCCTACAGAGGTTCTCCCAACAGTCTACAGCATGGAGTTCTGCAAAAGGGGGGTAAAAAGGTTTCTTCAGGGTGGGCAACGCGCGCGTAATGCCCCTGATATTGCAGGCGTTCATAGGCTACGGTAACCGCTTACCATCAGGTGGACCGTATGCTTGCTTGCCAACTCAGTGGTATAAAAAAAAAGAGAAAAATAAAAACACCTGTACTATTATATTTTGAATTAATTTATTTATATCATTTAATAAAAATAATAATGCAAGTAAAAACTTAATTATGTAATAATTAATAGACATAAGCAATTATTAATCTCAATATTCATTACGAACTAAGACCTAAGATTTTTAAAGTACATACTTAATTCAGAAACCTTACAATAGTCTCTCCAGTGCAAATTATTTCTATTTACTAACCCTTCTTTGCATGATTTTTTTTTATTGGTGATATAATTCATGTTTAAAATTAAAGGAAAAATGGTTAAAAAAATAAATTTGACAGCTATGTTTTTTTTTTCTGCAATAGACATTAAAAAGGTATCCAAACACGATCAACTTAAAGTGAACTTGTTCTATTATATAATTTTTGGGCATTCAATATTGTGATGGAAATTTCCACCATTATGCAAAGAAGGGTTAAGACTCAAAAACAATTTGACAATAAAACAGTCGAAGGCAGTCAGACCAAAATAAAAACAGTAGCTATTCTAAAAATCAGACAAAAAATGATTCGTCACTTATAAAATATGGCAACAGGCGACAAATGCCTCTTGAGAGCTTCTAGTTCAAAAAACAATACATCTAAGAGCTACATGTGTTATGTAAAACGAAGTGATTTCTTGTAAAAACAATAAGTACATATTAGCAGATTTGAATTTTAAATGTAAAAATATATTTGGTGATTTTAAAGTAAACATAGGACATTGGGGTCGATTATGAGATGCCGTTTCTCTGATTCTTATTTCTTAATGTAATATAATTTAATAATCTCGCAAAATTACTGTTCTGTGGACAGTCATAAAATATATATATATATATATATATATATATATATATATAATAAATATATATATATATATATATATATATATATATATATAATAAATTTTACTTAAATCTATTAGAAAATTAGATAGATACTCTTGTTTCCCCTATAAGATTACAATAGTAAACTTATTATAAATACAAACAATTACAAGAAAATATTACACTGACAAAACAATGGACAGCCTTATCGCTAAGAGCGATCTCTTGCAGGCAACCTTTGGATGGAGAGGAGTAATTATAAACAGTTTGACTGGAGCCACGAAACTGTTTTTTTAATACATATACAGATATGCATATGTACAATAATGTGAATATATAAATGTATATTTTAAGTTTCAAATACATACTTAAATAATTCCATATAATTTTCGTTCAGAAAATTAGTTCATATCGGTCCTAATAATAATGGTTTCACTGATTGAAAAATAGAAATTTTAATATTAGGTAGGTTTAGAGAAATGGGACTTCAGAATCGCCCCGTGCTTTTTTTACGCAACTTAGAATGGCAAACAAGCTGACGGGCCACCTGATGGAAAATGGCCACCGTCGCATATAGACATGACCAGTGCCATGGACGTAACAGAGTATTAGAAGGCTCTATTTTCTGTGACCACAGTACTTACTACTTGAGCTGTAAGCTTATCAACTTGACGGCCACCACAAATTGTATTAATTGAAAACAATTTTTACCCAACTGGTAAAGAATACTAATGTTTGATACAATGTAAACTCTAAAACAGCTCGATGGATTTTAATATGGTGTATCATTAGGCTACATGGTGTCTGCCATCAAGTAAGCAAATATGATTGAAAGACTAGCACAAATGTACTCTTTTTATTTTCCATGGAACTACCAATTTTTTTTTTAATATTTGGTCATATTCTGTCCTGTATTAATAGTTGTATAAACAAAATTCAAATCTGAAAAAATGATCTTATCACAAAGTTAAATATCATTACAATAGTAAACGGTATATTTAATTAGAGAATGCCGAGGGATCAAACTGATCAGTCGCTCTTATCCTTTTCGATGCCATCTTAACACTTAGAAAGGGCATTTTCTAAAAAAATATTTAACCATTGTACATATCTGCCGTTCAAAAGACATGAAACACGAGACTGCACTTGCACATAATCCAATTATCGTTCACACTAAAAATAAATGCATAAATGAAATTAGGATTTGAGAATCAGTCCACTTTGTACTTAGGGGATAAAATTAATTTAAAACTTATTATGTCCCTTATCCTTAGTCGCTACACTAAAATATTTCAATAATGTTTTACTTTTAAATTTCGGAGTTTTCTCCAAGGAGGTATTGCGCCGCGCTAGACTGTTTTCCTTCGGGCTGAGCGGCGAGTCGGCGTTCACTTTTTCCGGCTCTGAATTTTTCCCCCTCTTCTCCCGGCCCATGAGTGTCAGCCAATCTGTCGTCTCTTGTTTCTTCTTTACCGGCGACATCAGCCTCAAATGTGGCGCTTCTCCGTCCAACACGAAATTAGGTAGATTCTTTGTGGGCGTGGTGAATGTAATAATTCTAACCTTGCTCGGTGACACCTTGACGGGCGACCTGTGAATATTGTTGGGCGACATTATCTTTGGACTCTTAGGTGATAGAATTTTACAGGATTTCTTCTCGTAATTCTTCGTGGGCGTCATGAACGAGGTGCCCGGCAAGGGCGTGGTGTAGCTCCAGTCACTCGACACAGAGCAATGTGGCTCCCGGTCTACGGCACGTTTCTTAACCGGGCTCGTACACTGAGTACTGTCGTGGTGACGCTTGATTCCTGCCGGCAACAACTTCACTTCCTCCTCGGGATTAGTCGGCGCGTCCAGTTTAAACTTTTTTACGACCACCTCGAGCTCCTCGAGATCCCTAGTAGAGTTCATCAGGTCTGTGAGACATCGCTTAGTTTTCCTGGCAGACAAGGTGTATGACCGCGAACGCTTCGCGCTGTACGAACTGGGCGTAGTGTTCAATTTACGTTTCATGGAACTGGGCGTGTGGTCGCGGGCGCCCCACTGCGGCAGGCTCGTGCGGTCGGCGCGCGGGGCGACCTCCGCGCGGCCGCTCAGCTCGCGGTCGCCGTCGGGCGCCTCGCGGCCGATCCTCCATATCTTGTGGTGCGCGTCGTCGCTGCAGGTGACCAGCTTCACGTCGCCGCGCCGGCACCACGCCGCGCACGTCACCTCGGCCCAGTGGCCGACCAGCTTCACCACCGGCTCCGAGTACTTGACGTTCCATATATACGCGTTCTTGTCGCTGCTGCCGCTCACCAAGTACATGCAGTCGGGACTGAGGCTTGTTTTGATGTAGAAAGTGCTGTTCTCGTGCCCGATGTACCTTTGCTCCGGCATGGCATTGTATGTGGATATGTTGAAACAGTATATGACGTTGTCCATGCAGCTGGCGTAGAGCCTCGTCTGGGCGTCGTCTATTATGAGGTTCGTGTAGCCATTTTTGGTGGAGCTGCCGCAATAGGGTATCGAGTGTTTAGGCAGCGGTTCTCTCTTGTAAATGTTGTAGTTTTTGCGCAGATCCCACACTTTAATGTTCCCGTCGCACTCCCCGCAAGAAATTAATGTTAAATCGTTCTGGAAGACGAGGCCTGTGATGCTGATAGCTCTGTGCTGGTCGAAGCGTGGCCTCTTGCTATGAGAGCCTGGAGTTTTAGGAGTGAAGCTAGAATGGCAATTCAATAAACAGTTGTCAGGCTTGAGCACGACGGAGGGTTGACTGGTGGTCCTAATATCCCAAATGAGTATATGCCCGTCCCTAGCACCAGTGGCAAACACTGAAGGTTCCATAGGACGGAACACTGCAGTTTTAACTGATCTTGTATGGCTCGAAAAAGTCTGTATACTCTTTGGGGTGCCGTCTGAGATATCCCAAAGGCTTGCTGTATGATCACCTGCCGGCAAATATTTTATAAATTCGTTGTAAATTGAAACATAAAATTTTGTATTAATACTGACAAAATTATATGCTTGAAATATTTTCATGTATTGTGTAATTTATAAAAAAAAAACCATGCTAGTTGAACTAGAATTATCAAAGTTTTGAATATACTCAGAGAAAAATGGCCCAGTCATTTGTCCGATTCAATACAATGGTAAAAGTCCATCCGATTTTGTTTTTTTATATAATTATAATTGTTGTCTTCTTCTTCTACTATTTATAAGATGTAGTGAAGAGATCTGTATAAATATACCTCTTGACATATCAATCTAAAATCAAAAATAACTAACTACAACAATAATACTATAACGCAACTAGGATACATAATCACAGTTCACACACAACATTCTGAAGTGTTTTAATAGATGACAATTAATACACACACGCACGCACGCACGCACGCATCAATTTTGTAATCCACTGTTTGAAATAAAGATTTTTATTTTTATTATTATTAATATATACTCACTTTAGTACACATAAACAATGAAATGCTAACCCCACTTGCGCTATAAGTATAAACTTGTTGTTTAAGTTGGTTTGTGACGAAATTAAAAAAAAAAATAACCATTTCCAAGGGGAACTGCATGTAAATCAACTTGATGATTAGGGCTAATAATAGGATTGTGTGGAGGGAAGGGATTGTTAGTAGATGCGAACTACCAATCTCATTGATAGCAATATACCCTGTCAGGTTGACTTCCATGTGCCCCCATGGTCCCCTACACCTGGAAAACATGGTGCTTAATTCCAGGTGTATTTTTTTCTTTTTGATATGTCCAGAATGGGAGTGAATGGGGAAATGACTGGGAATAGAAAAGAATGGAAGAGGAAAACATATTACGCTGACCACAAATAATAATTGGGATAAGGGTAGGAAGATGATGATGGGGGAAAATGGTATGGTAACCCCGCCTGCGCTAACGGGATACGCTGGCGGAGCACCAGTGAAGGGTGATAGATGAGAATGAAAACAGGCGAGTTAGCCCATCATGATGAATTCACCAGGAATTAACCATGATAGTTTCCAGGGAGAACCGCAAGGAGGTCGACCTGGTTGGGTATATTGCTAGCAATGGGATTCTCAGTCTCCATTACTAACAATCCCTCCCCCCCTCAATTCCAGGTGTATTCATTGCGATGGGCTAACTGACCTGACTTTTCATTCTCGCCTATCATCCCTCACTGAAGCCCTGCAGCATTTGCGCAGGCGGGGTACCATTCCATTATCATCCATTAACAATAAAATATTATGGTTCCTAGTTCCTGTTACTAACAATTCCTTCTCCTCCTTTTGAAAATGTTGTATGAGTTAAATAAAATGAGGATACCTGAAACTGTAACAAAGTTCATGTAGCCTGGCTTCCACGCCAGGTCGAACACAGCGTTGTTGTGGCACTGGAAGCTCTCCATACCACTAGCCGCACATGGATTTGATGTATCCTTAAATATTACCAATTATCATTTTAATTACTAACATATAAACTTGTGTAGCACTAGCATTATTTGTCGGTGCTGGATTTTTTTTATACAACTTAGAATGGCAGACAAGCTGATGGTCCACCTAATGGAAAGTAGTAACAGTCGCCTATAGACATGAGCAGTATCATGGACATAACAGAGTATACTGTTTAGCCCATGATACCCCCATGCATTGCCATTCCTGAGAACGCAGGTGTTATTCCTCTGTACCCTGTAAATTAACTGCCATAACCCACCCTTCAAACCGAAACACAGCCATGCAAACAACTGCTTTATTTACACATTTGCTACCAGTAGGCTAAAAGTTACATTCATATTAAAATATATTTTTGTATTATATACAATATATTATAAAGTACTAGCTGTGTGGTCCTGGCATAGAATAGGCCACCTCTTCCTTTCCCGTGAGTGTTGTACGAGGAGACTAAGGGAAGGCGAGTGATGGGCAGCAGCGTCCCTCTTAAAACATTTCTAAAGCCTGACTGTGGTGGCTTATGTTCAGAAATGGACAGTTAAAGGCTGATATGATGATGATGATGAAAAAATATTTTGTCCATATTCGGCACCCCTAAAATCTGCCAATTAGTAGTCAACCTGTTGGCAAGTCATTACTAGTAATACAGCACAATATGCAGGTGCACATTGGAGACCTCCTTGTCTTCCATAGAACGTCATAAGATATAAGGCATGTTACACATGTGTAAAGCAAGAAAAGTCACAATAAAAACATTCAAGTTGTCCAGTCAAGCCACCTTTGGTAATGGTAAGTTACAACCAATTCTTATAAGAAGAGACCAAGTTTTTTAGTTTACTAGTTTGTCCCCATATAATTTCCTGTGTTGCCCATCTGTGATAATAAATATAATTGAGCATTTTAAGGTTAACTGGGTAGCAAACGTTCGTACATTTTTACAAATAATAATATTTATAATTAGTTGTACCTATGGCTTTGCCTGTGTGAATGAGTACATAAAGTAGGTATCCTGTGTGCTAAGTTATGATGCGACCAACCAGTGTTGTAAATTTAATTCAAATCTGTTTAGTAGTTTTTGCATAAAAGAGTAACAAATATCCATCCAGCCTTACAATTTTTTGTGTCTATAATATTAGCAGGGTATTGATGGGATAAGATTTACTTAATCAAAGACTATCATTATATATACTGTTAAAAATCCACTGCTGAATAAAGGCCTCGTCTATAAAGGGGTTTTGCAAATAGCTGCTTCAAAGACAATATATTGGAAATAATTTCATTTTTTCAAGAGTTCTTGGTTTATTTTTTATCTTTATTTATTAAAAAGATTAAAACCTAAGAACATACCAACAAAGCAGAGGATATGAGGTTTTTGGAAAAAATAAAATAGTACCTTAAAGGAGGTAAAAAGAGCGGAAAATTAAAAATTAATTTAAAGAAGAGTATCTTTTAATTTACTTATAATATAGAACAAATGCAACTGAAAGTCTGCTTGTAATAATATACACCCACAAGTATAAAAGTGTTTTCAATAATTTTTTTAGTTGTTTAATAATTTCATAATGGCTTCTAACATTACTCCACTAACCAACTTAATAATGAAATTAAAATATTTGTTGGATAATTATAATATTTTATAAATGATAATACCTGAATAGCAACTCTCCCATCTTCGTTGGCAAGGGCTAGAATGTGTTCGTAGCCAGAAGCTTCAGAAAACCGGCACGCGAATATCGGTGGATCCTGATCGAAGCCGATTGCAACATGTGCATTGTTTAGACCATAAAATGACTCCTCGCTACCCACTACCAGTCGTTTTAGAACACTGTCATAATTCAGACGGCAATCTGAAATTTAGAAATCAAATTTTTTTTAGATATTGTTGGTATTTTATCAGTAAGACTAAATAAACCAATTGTCACATGCAACAACATAAATTCTTTGTAAAACACATACAAATTCCCATCTGACGGTCGATAACACTTTGAACGAAATTCATATTAGTACCATAATTATACTTCACAGGAATAATAAAAAAAATATTAAATAATAAGTCTAGATTTTTCTATATATATGAAATATAACAACAATATGTAATTTGTTTTGACACCATTGACGTGATTTGACAGCTAGCTCAAAAAGGCGCGAAATTCATGCTACTGTCAGTGTCATTATTTACGACTCCTTATCGTAGAAAGGGAATACAAGAGAACATCTATTATGTAAATCTATGCATCTTATAAGACATATGCCTTTTTTTAATGGATGAAAATAGAATGGTTTACCCGCCTGCACTAACGGGATAAGTTGGAGCAGTACCAGTGAGGGATGATGATGAAGCAGGTCAGTTGGCCCATCGTCATGAATTCATCAAAAATTATTCACGATGGTTTCTATGAGAAACCGCATGGAGGTCGACCTATTAGGATATATTATAATAATGAATTTGTTGGATCTTACTATTTTTTTTATACAACTTAGAATGGCAAACAAGTTGATGGCCCACCTGATGGAAAGTGATAACCGTCGTCTATAGACATGAGCAGTACCATGGACATAACAGAGTATACTGTTTCACCCATAATACCCCCCATGCGTTGCTATTCCTGCAACTTAGGTGTTATTCCTCTGTACCCTGTAAATTCACGTCATATCCCACCCTTCAAACCGAATCACAGCCATGCTAACACAACTGCTTCACGGTTGAAACACGAATGGGACAGAGATACCCAAGCAAACGACTTTTGTACAAAGTCTCCTTCTACTAACAATCTCTGTCCCTTATAATAATAATATGTTATACCTATTTAGTAATTCATTTTAGAAACAACTGCAAACTTATTCAATTTTACGCAGTAGTTATTGCATAATACTTCGATATGAACACAAAATTCTTAGATTGGTGTTTTTTTATTATGTAAGCAGCTACTAGGTACATATTTTACATATCTGCCTTTGTATATAGTAAAATATAAAATTACATTAGGAAGGAAAAAAATTTAATTTGATCAGTTACGTGTACTACGGCCTTATACTAATTTTACCATACCTATATATTTGCCTACCATAGGCAATTCATCAATTGCCCATAGAGCTTTATGCGGCGGCGTTTGTTTGTCAATGTTAACTTTTTCTGCATGTTTTTATCTCCTCTTGTTAGAAATTTAGACAATTTCACTGTTACTATAGTATTTATTTTGCATTAATTCTGATTTCAAATCAATCTATGGTTAAATAGTGCATTGATTATGGTTGTAAATAGTAGAAAACATTCATAATATCATTCCTAATTTCAACTGGCGGTTTGATGTCGTCTTACATTCGGTATTTTTTTGGTGATCCCGTTAATGCTAGTGTATAAAATAATACGTATATCGAGTAAAAAACTCCACTGTTAAACACAATTGTTCACCTCATGCCAGTATATTGTTTCAATTACAAGAAAATGCAAATAGGTAAATAGTTTAAAAGCTAGTGATATTAGTTGACATACGGCGGAGATTCCACTTGATATTAATGTGCAAGTTGTATTATTTCAGTTGTGTGGAATGCTTGACTATAGAAGATGGACAGTCTGACAGGTGTAGGAGTACGGAACGGTGTGAATTCAGGTGGTAGTTCAGAGCTGGCGGCCGGGGCGGCGTGCGGCTGGATGTCGCCACTGCAGTGTGTGGCGCGGTTGTTCAGGATCCGATGCCGATCCGCTTGGACCCAGCTAACTCATTACGCGACATCTCCACGAACCCCGTCGTCGATGTTTTGTATTCTGACTTACCCTTTATAAACAACATGGACGAAATATCCTATTGGATTTACACGAAAAGGGCGCCATGCCTTTTAAAATATGATACCTTAAACAAAAATAGTTGCATGAATAATTATAAGAAGCCTGTGAGCATTCACAGCATTGAAGGTGATATTCCTTCACCGAAAAAGAAGAAAAGAAAGTTATCTTTATTGGATGATGGATCTGTATCAACTGAGAAAAAGAATATTTATTTTGATGTTTCCCGCATTGGGAATCAACTGGCTATAAAGAGTCATAAATCGGACACGCTTGCCTCCAATATAGATTTCAATATTAAAAGTTCTCCTATACAGACTAAAAAGAAAAAGGCAAAACTGCAAAAACCCAATCGGACAACTCTGTATAAAAAAAATAAAGTTATTACATCTACTCCAAAATCAAATATAGCCCTTAGAAGAAGTGTACGGCGTACGGCACAGGGGCACCTGAACAATAATAACATTAGGCATCTAGATAGCTCCTTTGAAGTACTTCATTGCGATCTTACTGATGACATTAAAAGTCCACATGTATTTCTAGAAGGAAAAAATCATGCTCCCAAGAAGTCATTGGGAGTAGAAGATGATCGAATTGTTGCCAATAAAAATCATGATGAGAAATTTACAAAACAACCTGTCCCTAATGACGAGTTTGAAGATATCAGTGATGTATCTGGCTTTACAGCCAATTATATAAGATCCACTAAAGTACATTCAACTAAGACACCAAGAAATCTTAGGAGCAAATCTAAATGGAAACTTATAAAGGAGTCACCTTGTGACATCTTGAAAGACAACACAAAAACAATAGTGTGCATTAACAAATCTGCCAATACTGGAATGCCTGATACACCAGCCCTGAACTGTAGTACAGATTCATCACAAAACGTTGTTAACTTGGTGACAGTTAAGAACAATAAGAAAACTACAAAAGTTGACAAAAGTACATCCTTACTCAAATTCATGGATTCAAAAAATAGCAAAGCTAATTTATCTCCTGAGAAATTGGAAACAAGTAATGATCATATTACTAATCTTGATACCTCATTCCAATCAATGGACAGTGGTACATCGAGGTATCCCAGGAGGGTCAGAAATAATTCTGCTCACATTACAGTGCCTAAAACAATAAATATTAGTAATTCTACTAAAAACTCTCTAGATAAAAGAAGAAGAACAAGTAAAAATACTTTGCAGCATAAAAATAAGTCAGATCGGAAGGAAAATCCAGAGGAGACGATTGTGTCTAAGACAAGAAGTGGGAGGAGCATAGGCCTGGCATTGAGGCAATCTAAACAATCTGTATTAGTGGTGAGCAACTCAGTGGACCGCTCTAGTTCTGTGGTGAGCATGAATGTAGCTATTACAGGTCACTCAAATCGGCAGCAGAATGGTTCCAAGACTAAACATGGAATGTCAACAAGGAACGCAGACCGTGTAAAAACACATGTGAACAACAGTAGATCATTGCGGAGAGAGTCTCTGAGGGACAGGAGTGGTTTTGCTGCTTGTTTCTCGGACAGTGATGACGGCAGTGAACCTTTAAGAGAGAAGAAGTTTTTCTGCTAGTATATATGGTAGTTTAATAGATAACTGAGTATTTATTTAGTTTTCAATGCTATCATACACAACAAGTGCCCACTTGCAATATTTAGTGTATGCTTCCTTCAGATGGCTCTAACATTTGAACAGTGCCTGTAACTAATGAAAAAAAAAATTGTATAATGCTTGTACTAGCCTAGTTGTTTATAGATTATCAAATATAACCATCTACTGTAATAGTATATAGATGTTAAGTATAAATTTAACAGTGACACAAATTCAATTTGTGAATAAATTTTTTGTTTTAAATGTGCCATTTTTATATGATTTTTACATGCCCATCCATGACAACAGTTGAATTTGTTGAGTACTTACATACATTATTGTTTTTATTCAGGTTTGTTTGATCTGTTTGTGATATATATAAATATAAGTATCATACATGAATTTTTAGTATTTGAAATTATACAGTGATATATGTTATATTGTTTTTTTTTTTTTTCTAATATAATATCCAACAAGATTTGTAGTATTTAATACTTGTAGTTATTTTAAATTGTGTCGCCTTTGATTACTCCTTTGGGTGTTTGTGAACAGCCCTGGTAGACGAGTGGCAAACGAATCTATGGATCTTATATTTGTATATGGAGTCGGCTAAGCCGTTGCACGTCGATCAATTAGAATCCTGTGCTTTCCCTGGCCTTATACCATCATTTTATATATTATATGTGTTATTTTTGCAATATCCCGTGGTTTCAAATATCTATAGTCCTCTGGCTCTGGATAAGTCCCCCCTTGAAACCATGGTGCTGAATTCCAGGTGTATTTATCACGATGGGCTAATTAATCTGCTTTTTCATTTTCACTCAACATCCCTCACTAGGCGGGGTTACTATACCATTATTTTACATTAAAAAAAAAGAATTTGCACATAGAGGATAGACTACTTATATTGTTGACTTAGTATACCGTACTATTACCCATTTTTTTTTTATTAAATACCTTACTAGTATGTGTCCAGTTAAGGCACCCATTACGAGTAGATGAGTGGAGTAGAAATGGGAATTAACAATTCCATTTGCTAGCAATATACCTTATCAGGTCGACTTCCACGCGGTTCCCTATGGAAACTATTGTAAATAATTTTATTCTTAAATTAGTCACAATAGGCCAACTGATCTGTTTCATTCTCACCTTTTTTTTTTATACAACTTAGAATGGCAAACAAGCTGACGGCCCATCTGATGGAAAGTGGTAACCGTCGCCTATAGACATAAGCAGTACCATGGACATAACAGAGTATACTGTTTCGCCCATGATACCCCCCATGCGTTGCTATTCCTGAGGACTCAGGTGTTATTCCTCTGTACCCAGTAAATTCACGCCATATCCCACCCTTCAAACCGAAACACAGCCATGCAAACACAACCTATTATCCCTTATTGGTGCCCCGCTAGTGTATATCGTTAGCGCAGGTGGGGTAACCATTCCATTATTATCCATTAAAAAAAACACTAGATGAGTGGGGGGGAGGGATTGTTAGTAATGCGGGCTACCAGTCCCACTGCTAGCAATATTCTCTCCACGTGATTCTCCTGGAAACCATCGTGCTGAATTCCAGATATATTCATCATGATGGGCTAAGTGATCTGCCTTCTCATTCTCATCTATCATCCCTCACTGGTGCCCCGCCAAGGTACACCGTTAGTGCATTATTATTCATTAGGAAAAAACAGATGATCTTATCCCATACCTCAACCTTGTCGTTTAAGAACTGGAATGCCTGAAACCTTTCAATGTTCTCCAATCCTTTTGCTGTTTTATTTTCGCATACTTCCCAAAGATATAGTTAACAACCATTGATGCATCTGCTACATATGGTTCAGGATCTATTATTTTTTTTTATTTTGACCAATACCAAACCGGGGGAAAGGGATTGTTAGTAAAGGAGACTGAGAATCCCATTGCTAGCAATATACCCAACCAGGTCGACCTCTTCGCGGTTCTCCCTGGAAACTATCATGGTTAATTCCTGATGAATTCATCATGATGGGCTAACTGGCCTGTTTTCATTCTTATCTATCACCCTTCACTGGTGCTCCGGCAGCGTATCCCGTTAGCGCAGGCGGGGTTACCATAACATTTTCACCCATCAAAAAAAAAACCCATACCAAACCTATATGCCTATCCAAATTACTGAGTTTTTGAATAGTATTTAAGGTCAATCCTGAATTCACCCTTGTTGATACAAGTGTTTTGATAGTCGCTTGACTGTCACTTAAAATATAGATTTTCTTGTTTTTAACATTATTATCCACATTTATGTTGCACAAGTGGCAACAGCATACATTTCTGCTTCAAAAGCAGTAGAGTATTTTCCTGTGCTTTGATTTATTTCGCTTGCGTTTGAAAAGATTCCAACTCCAGTACCTGTTACCATTTTAAAGCTATCTGTACACCAATATAGATCATTCTCCTTCAGATATGGCGGGCCATGTTCCCACTTTTCTCTCTGTGGTATATGAACTTTAAAGTTCCTTTTGAAAATATACTTTGATGTTATTTTATTAAAACTTATGTTCATATACTTGTCCAAACCTTATTCTACCTTCATTTTCGTATAATTTGTAAGTGGCATAAATCTATTCCATAATTCTGTCTTCTAGTCTATGAAGCGTCTTCCTTGCCTACTTTTCAATCACTATATGCAGTGGAAGGAGATTCAAGAACATTTCCATCGCTGCTGTTGGTGTACAATTATGTAATTTTAGGACATTAATTTCATTAATTTGGCCGCCCCTGCTATATATCATAGCTATAATTTTTTATACAGTTTTTATCAAGAAAGACTGAAAACTTATCGTCGTAAAGGCTTTTGGGTCCTCATAATTCGCCTTTCCTGGTTTAGAATGAAATTTACTTTCACCTTTCTCCATATCTTGGGTTTATAGCCAAACGCTAGACAACATAGTCATCATCATACCAGCCTTTAACTGTCCACTGCTGAACATAAGTCTCCCCCTTGGGGGTTTTGTCAGTAGTTGTTACGCTTGGTAGGGATATTGGCAACCCCCCATTGGCAAAAAATGAGAATGAAAAGGCAGACCAGTTAGCCTATCGTGATGAACATACCTGGAATTTAACACGATGTTTTCTAGGGGGACCATATGGAGGACATTACGTTGATGGCCTCATAGGTCATGCCCACCATATTTACTACTGGTAGTGTATTTGACGTTTCTTCCAGCTTGTCCCAGAGTACTCACTGGATAAGCTCGTATTCTTCCTCCCCCAGAGTGCGTGCCAGAACGTTCTCCTCAACGATCACCAGTTTAATGAAGTTCAGTATTCTAATGACTCTCTAAGACCTTAAGAATCTGTCGATAGAAACATTATTACTAGTGACTTCATGAGATGGAACGTCTACTGAGAACTGATGGCTGATGATTAATTATTGATAAACTTATTACTCAAGCCACTAAGGGAGTAGATTATTAATATGAATATACAGTCTTATTAAAACATTTACAAAGGGCATCGCAAGACAACACCATGAAAATATCCAATGCAAAAATGATTTTAGAAAATGTCTAAAGACAAATTTTTAATCGAAAGGAATTTTAAAAAGTAGTGCGGTATTCTTAGAAAAAATTTGGGATTAAATATTTATTTCAAAAATTGACTATAAATGTAAATAAAACAAAAAACAAGTTTTGCAAAAACTTAAGGTGGGTAGGTCCGTCAAACTGAGAGGGCAACACCATTCGGATCGTTTATGTAACGTAGGTAGATAACATTTTATATATAAGGCGAGCGGTGCAGTTTGGATAGTAGTTCGAGTCGTAGATAGCAATGGAGGCGGACTTATCGGACAAGGTGGTGCTGGTGACGGGCGCGAGCGCGGGCATCGGGCGGGCGGCGGCGCTGCTGCTGGCGCGGTGCGGCGCGCGGCTGGCGCTCGCGGGCCGCGACGAGCGCAGCCTGCGCGCCGCCGCCGACAGCTGCGCGCGCGCCGCCGGCCGCGCCGCGCTCGCGCTGCCCGCCGACCTCGCCTGCGACCGCGGCTGCCGGCTCGTCGCCGCCAAGACCATCGAGCACTTCGGCAGGTAGCGCACACTCTGCCTCTACATTCAACGACTCATCCTTTATTTCTATCTTTTTAGAGACGAATTTCCATAATGATTAAAGAATATGAAAACGCGCGGATTTCTGTGTCCACCCCTGATTACGCCGTCTGGGATTGTCTTGGCCGATGCTTTACGAAACTTATTCTCTAGATTTATAAATATTTATTCGTATTTCCTAACGATTACATCGAATAACAATGTAATATATGCACGTATGCATATTGATATATCTTTGTTCGTACTCCACGGCACAAACCTACTTAATCTTTAATTAAATACCGCACAATTATAGTTTACACTCGAGCACAGTCATAATAATAAATTTGACACTTACAAGATAATAACTCTTGTGATAAGCATAAATAAACAATTTTTGTAATTGTGATATAGCTGTTTAATATACCATTTTTATTAGTGTCTGGCGTGAAGGATATATCAGACATATATACAAAAGTGTACCTACACTATATCTATTCTATCTTCACGCCCGACACTAGTAGGGAGAGAGAACTATACGTAATTTGTGCCAAAGACATCTCGCATTGCTCCATTATGGATTTTGGAAAAAGTTAAAATAGTATGTTTAAGGATGGTTCGCAAATAGAAAACAATTATTATGAAAAAATACTGGTTTATTACTGACTGCACATGCATTTTACAATTACTAATATACATGTAGGTAGATATGAGAGAGAGAGATACATCACAAAATCTTTCTTCAGGAAAACTATGGATAATGTTCTGACCATTCTGATCACAACCAGATGTTTTTGGATATTGGGAAGGATTATGGTTTGACTTGAACACTATTATCTTTTTTCATTCATATTTATAGTTTGCTATCTATAGTATAATATATTTTTTTCAATCTTATCTGACAAACAAAGTATTTAGGTACATGCGTTATGTATATAATATTGCTTTTTTATTTCTAGCCAGGCAATAATTTGATTCTCCAGATTAGATGTACTCGTGAACAATGCCGGCATCACCGCCCGATGTACCATCCAAACCACAGACATGGAGATCTTCGACCGCGTGTTCGCTTTGAACGTCCGCGGAGTGTACAACCTGACCCGGCTGCTGGTGCCGGAGCTGATCAAGACTCGGGGGAACATCATTAATGTGTCCAGCATATCTGGAACTTCGGTTGGAGTCGGCAGCTTGCCGTATAGCATGGCTAAGGTAAAGTAGGCAAGGTAGCCGTGTGTGCCCCGGCATAGAATGGGCCACCCTTTCCTTTCTCGTGGGTGCCGCAAGAGGCGACTAAGGTAGCAGCGTCTCTCTTAAAACATCTCTAAAAGCCTAAACTGCGGTTCCTAACCCGTGTGCCGAGTGTGGCAACTAGCAAATCTCCTTTTATGGGAAAAGCTTATGCCCAGCAGTGGACAGTTAACGATTTGACTTGAACGAATTTAATGCAAGTGCAGTGTATTGTTTCTTTTTTGAGTAACACTCCACTCATATAGTTTTGTATTATTTTCAGGCTGCTTTGGATCATTTCAGTCGGCTAATTGCCGTTGAGTTGGCGCCATTGGGGGTCAGAGTGAACACTGTCAGCCCTGGGGTTCACTTGTTTTTCTAGAAAATCATAGACATTCTTAAATGCATTGTAACCTTTATTTTTTTAGAAAATCATAGATAATCACATACTTAGTAATTAATATAGGTATTTTTTTTATTGGATTAGTAAAAATGGTAAGAAAATGTATCTAAATATAAGATACAAAATAAAAATATTAAAAAGTATTTCAAATACAAGATGTAAATACGTATTTTGTATCTTGTATCTGTATTTCAGATACTTTTATCTGAGATAATTCACATCACTGGTAATAACGGGATACGTTGGCGCTGGGCTCCACCAGTGAATGGTGATCGTTGAGGATGAAAACAGACCAGTTAGCCCATCATGATGAATTCATCTGGAATTAATCATGATAGTTTCCAGGGGGAACCGCGAGTAGGTCGACCTGGTTGGGTATATTACTAGCAATGGGATTCTCAGTCTCCATTACTAACAATCCCTTACCCCCTACCAATATAGGTATTAACGAATTAATACAATATCAGAACTTTTTAATAGTGATCTTAAAATAATAGTGTAGTAGCAATAGCTCGGTTAGTCGCAGCTCAAATAATTTTATCCGATTATAAGTCTCAATATCAATCTTGGGTACCTCTGTCCCATTTGTGTTTCTACCGTGAAGCAGTTGTGTTTGCATGGCTGTGTTTCGGTTTGAAGGGTGGGATATGGCAGTGAATTTACTGGGTAAACAGGAATAACACCTGAGTCTTCAGGAATGGCAACGCATGGGGGGTATCATGGGCAAAACAGTATACTATGTTATGTCCATGGTACTGCTCATGTCTATAGACGACGGGTACTACTTTCCATTAGGTGGGCCGTCAGCTTGTTTGTCATTCTAAGTTGTATAAAAAAAAAAAATATTTTTTATGGATAAAAATGGAAAGGTACAATCGTCTATGCTATGATATATCATCTATAGCGAGGTGTGAATGGAAAATGATGTCAGATTAGTTGGCTCATCATGACGTATTTACTAAGAATTATTACCAGACAGGATCTTTATACAAAAACCGTCTTCTGTCTCAATAGTTGCTGCCGTGAAGCAACTGTGATGACTGTTTTTAGGTTTTGTGGGTGGGATATGGTACTGAAGTTACAGGGTACGGAGGATTAATACCAGGAATGGTATACATATGGTTTACCAGAGGTATTACAGTGTAATCTTTAATGGCCATGTACTTGTTATGTTTATTGGCGGCAGTTGCCGTCGTCACGTGGGTCATTACCTTGTTTGTCTCTCTAAGTTGCATAAAAATCTAACCACAGTGGTTTCCAGGGGCCTCACTTCTTCCTCTGATTGAAATGGATAGAATGCTTACCTCGCTTGCGCGGGGGAAGGGATTGTTAGTAATGGCCTCTCCATCTTAGTTCCCATCGCTATCAATATTCCTTATCAGGTCGATCTCCACGCGGTTTTCTCTGGAAACCATCGTGACTAATTTATCGTTGAATTCATCACGATGGGCTAATTGACCTGCCTTTCCATCCTCACCAATCATCCCTCACTGGTGCCCCGCTAGTGTATACCGATACCGAGCGCAGGCGGGGTTACCATTCCATTATCATCCATCAAAAAAAAAACCTCGCTCGCGCAATCGGTTTATGTTGGCAGGACATTAGTGAGAGATGATAGGTGAAAGCATGACAGTTAGCCCCTTGTGCTGAATCCATCAAGAGTTCAGGGCTTGGTTTTCAAGAGCACCGCGTGGATGTCCGCCTGACAGAGTTACTAGTAATGGAGTCACGCTTCTCTGTTACAGACAGCCCCCTCCCACTCCTATCAATGGGAATTAAAAAGATTCTAGTGCGCAGCTTCTCAGTTAATTTCAGGTCAGCAAGATCGTCCAGCGTGCAACGAACTGCACCGACGAGGAGTACCAAGAGTTCCTGACTGACGCCGCTGCCACCATTCCGCTGGGCGAGGTGTGTGTCGGGGAGGACATAGCCAAAATGATAGTGCATCTAGCGAGCGACAACAGCCGCCTGGTGACCGGCGTCACCGTGCAGGTACCCAACGTTATGTACCGTTAATGTATTAAAGATTATTTTCCAGAACGAGTCCGGCTCTTTTAAAAGGCGTATAATGTATTCTCTCATATCTTTGCAAAGCTTCGCTTCCATCTTCGGGCGAGCACTGGACATTTCTAGGTCCACCCGGCTCTCTTCTTTAAATACACCTATGCTATGTACTGCCACAGATAAAACAATTTTAAAGAAGGCTAGATGGCGTAACATATTCATTGTTCTAGCAGTGACAACTGAACATTTTCGTCGACAAAATATGCTTCGAAAAACAATAAAAAAAATTTGAGTCTGCCATACAATGGGATACAACGCCATACAATAACTATGCCATAGATCAACCAGAGGGAGACTTTGTACAAAAGTCGTTTGCTTGGACACCTCTGTCCTATTCGTGTTCCGACCGTGAAGCAGTCGTGTTTGCATGGCTGTTTTTCGGTTTGAAGGGTGGGATATGGCGTGAATTTACTGGGTGCAGAGGAATAACACCTGTGTCCTCAGGAATGGCAACGCATGGGAGTTATCATGCGCGAAACAGTATACTCTGTTATGTCCATGGTACTGCTAATGTTTATAGGCGACGATTACCGCTTTCCATCAGGTGAGCCGTCAGCTTGTTTGCCATTCTAAGTTGTATAAAAAAAAAGATTTTAAAATTATGTTTTATATGAAAGAAAATGCTTGCAGATTGCTCGTAGAGAAATGTTATCGAAATCGATTTAATAGATTATAAATAAAAATAACTAGTTTTGCTACAATTAATTTTTTTTTTGTGGACTGTAATTATTTTCTGTTTCATCTAGGTGGACGGGGGGTTGCAGCACGTAAGTACTGGCAGCTTGCTGAAGAAACAAGTCAAGTAGATATTATATACTTATCTATGTATATACATAAGCAATTAATATTTATATATATATATATATATATATATATATATATATATATATATATATATATATATATATATATATATATATATATATAGAATAATGAAAGTTAAGCCAATAAAGATAAAAATAAATTGTGCACTGGTTTTATTTTACTGGAATATATATTTGTAGCTGTTAATTGTTTATCCTAAGATACTTTCAAAGAACGCCTTTTGTCCGCTCCTTCGCACGCGTGGACATTAGAAGTGGGAAAAACAAAGAAGTACGTCAATTCTAGATGACGTATTTAAATAAAACATACGACAGGTTTTATTAATTAATTAAGTTTTATTAATTAATTAAGTTTCGTTAGTTAAGTTGGAAACCATCGTGAACAATTCTTGTTCAGTGTAACAGATTATAAATCATTGTGTATTATTAAAAAAAAAAAAAGTTCACCTTCAATGTAACAGATTACAAATGATTGTGTATTATAC